AATGAGAATTAATCTGGGGCATTTGCAAATATTAATTTGTTTTCAATTGATTGACTAAATGAAATGTGTTTAAGTGGATAACAATAAAACAAATTACAGAAGGGTTATGTATCTATTATATATGAATGGATGGGATGGATACTAAAATATTTATTGTGCATCATTGTTTATATATGTTTGCTACGCTACTGAAACTGCCGAAAAATTACGTTTTAAATTTTTTTGTTTTGTATATTTACACCGATAATTTTATAATCTTTTAAGGACCACGTCGCTACAAAAAATATTGCCAAAACTTTTTCCTTTATTGTACTGACAACTAAACCGGATGTGATACGTGGACATAGGCATGTTACGTATACGTTTCAGTCTGGTAACGCACCTACTTAAAAAATACTATTTGGTGAAGTACACAAATTATATGTATCGATCAGATATAACGAAATGTTCAGAAAAGTCGAGTAAGACATCGGGGGTGATTTCTGGTAGTAAATTTTGTCTATACTTAGTGCATTGAGGAGGTAATTTTCTTATGCACGGAATTGATGATAGTGTAAATCTTAGTCGATTTAGACTTGAAAGGCAGACAAAACTGTAAGAATTATGTTTCACGGACAATAGATTTCAATTTCGAAAACGGATTATGCTTGATACTTCTTTATATTCTTTACTATATGGAAACCGTAATAAAGTATGATTGTATTTTTTAAAAATATTCAAACATTAATAAATGTAACTATACAAATTTACTTAAAGTATTTGGCCTTTCATTTATGATAAAAGTAATTAAAATTAGAAAAAATAATGCCTGCATAAATTGTTAAGAAACTAACGAAACATATTTTCAAAATTTCAATCCATCAAACGAAATTCCTACAATTTTATCTGGCATTTGTATCTAAAATATCATATTTGTTCGTGAAAACGACCATACCTCTTCCCCTTAAATGGGTACCGGTCAGAAGATTAGTGGAAGAGTATAACTATTAAGATGGCCATTAAAATGTAAAAAAAAAATTTTATTTCTACAAAATTTCGAAAACCGTCACCAGTCTCCATAACAACGGGAAAAAACGAAAATATTTACGCAATAAACAGTTTCTGTTAATACTTAGTTTTGATACTGGGTTTTTACAGCAATTCAGTGATAAATAATAGTAGAAACCCGAAACTTTCACTGAATAGTGAATACTTACATTAACACTTTCTCGACGTGGTACGATTTTTTCAAAACATTCTGTCGTTTACTAAGTTTATGTTTTTGTTTTTGCTTTTTTTTTTTGTTATTTAAAATGTTCGATTTTTTTTTAAGTACCTATTAAAATCAAATATGCGCAGTGTTTTCCATAGTTCTATTGAGTTGATATACATATATTATAATTGCGTTTAATATACTTTTGTTGCTCATTAAATTCAAATTTATTTTCATTATTTACACGGAGACGAATAGAAAACCGACTGTAATTTAGGTACCTATATGTAGAGTTTAAATTGTATAGACATTAAAAAGTCGATTAATGTGGATTTGAAAATATTTAGTTATTAATGACCCATGAACAGCTATAGGCAAGTAGATGTAAGTATGTTTTAGTCTAGACAGAGACTATTATAACGATATCAAATGTCTACGGAAGGCGTTTTAAAAATCATTCGTCTTTATAAGTTTAATGAAAAGTACCTATAGAATATTATAGTTCGGATGTTTATGAAATTGCAAATTGTTTTCTATCTATTCAATTCAATGCTGGATACAAATTTGTTCGACCGAGTCAAATAACACTATTTTTATTTTGCATATTTTATGGTTTTGTATTTTAAATGCATATTTTAGAATTTTAAAAATATAAATGTATATTTCAGTACATTTTCGAACTTTTTTAAAAACAATTTAAATTAATTACAAAATATAAAGCAAAAAAAGCATATAATTTGAATAATTTAAAAAAAAAAAACATTAATCACACTGTAATGCTTTTGGTGTAAATTAATATGCAATACGTATTAAACAAATAATACATAAAAATAACTATTAAAATTATTACTAATAAAAATTAAATACTTGACGTAAAATTTTGTTGCGCGTATTTTAGTGGTTTTTTTTAAACTAAAAATTTAAATTTTATAACTTTTAGTGTATAAATACATACATATAACAGTTATTTTAAGTGCATAAACGTCCGAACTCTAATTATAATTATAGTCTTCACTGTATAACGAAAAATGGTGTGTTGACGAACTTATGTAAATAATTAGAATTATCCGTTTAGCAGAAAATCCCGACATACCTATTGCATACTTATAACTGTGGCTTATATGCTGTATATATTACAACGCGTCCACTTTTTCAAAAATCCGTTTCATAGGTTCAATCAAGAAAATATGTCCTAGGATAATGGGGATGGGTGCAGCCATTGTTATAGATCATTTAATGTATACCTGTAAGCAACAATAAACCATTGCTTACGAAAAAACAAGCGAAGTTCAGTTGATAGTGATGCTTTGTCAACAATATATATGTCATTTTATAATCAAATAATTAAATAAGCTTCATATATTTTCTTTGATGATATTTATTTAATGTTGAACAGATTTTCCCAGTTTCCCTACGTTTTAACCCGGGTTCCCATGTTTTATCCCGGGTTTTCACATTTGTTGGGAAAAACTTTTGGGAAAATCGAAAAATTACCTCTCTAAAGTACCTCGTTAGTGAAATTTTCTTTTAGAAACTTTGCGCTTATTAAAAGTTAGAGAAATATTGCTGGTAGAAAAGTTGTTCACAGAAAAAAAAATCGTAATATTTTACTTATATATTTCGTACATTTTCCCGACAGTGATTATGTAAAATTAAATTGAATTCTAAAGTCTTGAGTAAGGAATTTCAAGTTTTACTTCCTCCTGCCTATTCCTAATTCATCGCGACTTATTTACCGTTTTCTTAATTTGCTATACATGTATAGTTTATTAGTTTTAGTCAATTCAACGACAATAATAACTGTAGGCTATTTTTAAACGGTGCCTTAAATTATCATCAATGACGTTAACACATTATAAATAGGTATACAGGGTATTTCAAATTTCAAAATTTGGTTAAAATTTCAATGAAATACTTATTTTTTTTTAACTTTTCAAAAGCGTATATTTTAAATATTTGCTAGATTGTCCGTAGTCTGTCATTGTTCTTGTCACCATAATTTTCGTGAGTAAAACTACTAGCTAATTTTGTTTTGTTTACTCGAGATCTACATAAAAAATTCGACAAATAGACGAAATTTCGATTTAAAATACATTATTTAGCGAAATTTTTAATTTCCGAGTTATTACTCTATAAAGTTTCAGTACTGGGTGCAGTAGTGGAGTATCGTTCAAACGCCACTTGCCGTGTCGCGCGCCATCCAAGTAATGATGCGCGTGCGACTTTTTTTTCTTCCATTTGAACGGTGAACCGGAGGGGGTTTAGTTTCACATTTCGTCCCTCCGGCTTACACCGGTGAAACTTAGTGAGGATATTAAAATTTATTATAATCATACATTCCGGCCGTATATAGGTCTGTACACGCGTCATATCATATAAACTATATATGGTATAGGTATATTTAATAAACTTAATATTATGTAGGTATACGTAATATACACACACACACACACACACACACACACATATATATATATATATATATATATATATATATATATATATTATACATTATATTCTACAAAATATGTGAAAATCATTAAATTGCCAGAGTAGAGGAGGTTATATCCTAAAATGTATTTTCCTCAATCTATACGAATTCGCCTTAATTAATACATCTATTTTAAATGAATACGAAATTTCAATAAAACTAGTGACATAGTATCCGATTATGTACAGAATAAATTGTTAACAATAATTCAATATATATCATTGATTATTTTACATTGCTTAACATATTACCACTTTCTGGACGCGGTGTTATTTTCAAAGTATCTGAAATTGTTGGTTTTTTTTTTCTGTTTATACTTGGATGACAATATAATTCGCAATTTATTTGTATCCAACATTTTTATGTTGAAACTCGTTAAAAACACAACAAATTGTAATTTTTTTCTAGTTACAAAATAATATACAATTTTCAATTTAAATTTGTCGAAACATGTTGAACCAAACTGGCTTCAGAATGCTTCAGAATGCAAAACTGGCTTCGTGTTTTGTTTGCACTGGTTTATGATTGTGTACAGACATAGATTAAATTACTATGTTATGTGTATCTTGCATTCCCAACGAACGACATTGGTTCATGTCCCACGATACGAAGTATAATCTTTGTTGGGTTTTTTTAAATTTGTTTTATTATTATAATTTTCCCCGACAACTGTTCATATTCGCCCTGAAATTGTATCACATGTCTGGCTATATTGTAAAACACCAGAACCATCACAAGTAAACAAATAGCTGTATTATAATGATAGCCAAACACAATAATATGTTACATTTAGATATATTAACAGCAACATTTTATGAGACTTTGAACGAAAAAAAAAAAAAAGGAGAAATTCTTTAATTTTTTTAAAAAAAAAAAACATTGATTCGCATTAGGAATACTAAGTATTAAAATATGTTCGATATTCACAGTGAAATACCCGCCGCCGTTTTTCCAACGCCAATACCCATATTATGCAACTTCTTTAATCGTAACCGTCACATCGGTTACGATTAATAATCGATGTACGCACATCTGTGTGTACATCGATGAGAGCTAATCCATTCAATTCGTAAAAAATACCGGAGTTTGTATTTTGTAAGGTGTGTTTTGAAACTCGAAAATTATCTGATTTATAAAACGATTGACGAAACATCCGAATCGATATGTATATATATTTTTTTTTATACACATATAAATATTTATACGGTTCAATGTGGTAAGGAGGGGAGGGAGGTCCAGACCGGAGTCCGCCGCCTTGGTCGTCTCCGTAGCCTGTCGACAGACCCGGTACCTAAAACCGGGAGTTTATACGCTGCAAGAGTGAACCCTGTGCATCGGTAGTGGACTGCGCGGCGGTTCTGCACAGACCACAGTCGTCCGAAGACCTCCGTCGCCGTCGTAGTGCTTCTTTTTTCTCTTCTGTCTGTGTTTACAGGTGGGTAAATATTATTGCACCAAAAGGGAACAATTATCGTGTAACTGCGTGTTGCGCGTTTAATTGAATAAGCGGTAGGCACTCGAACTCCGAATACAATAATTAATGTCTCCGCGATGTTATGTAGATGCCGTTCTTAGTAAAATAACGCCAATTGTATTTTACGTATTTTGCATATTTTGGCGGTTTTACATTGTTTCGCATTATTGCGACGCATATTTTTATTAATTATTTTATTTAGTGCAATATTAAGTAAATACAAACTCACCGACAAACGAAATAATTATTATTATTATTATAGTCAAGTAGCCGTTTGAACCGTTTCAAGTCGCTGACATAGTCACTGGCAACTGCAATACTGTCCCGTCACATACCGGCAACAGGATCGTTTCGAATATTATTAGCAACCGATTATTCGTTTAAAGGTATATATTTTTATTTTATTTTTTTTTTTTCTAAAATCATATTTTAAGACGTACGTCGGGTTAGGTTAAGTTATTTACGCGTAAATTTGCGTTCAACGATTTTGCGCCAATATACAGTTTTAATGTTATAGAGTCAATCGATCCGTTATCAAATTCAATGGGGGGGGGGGAACACGCGTTTGATACGTTGAAATTTTCGTTATTTCAATATTTTCATGCGATAACAGAGCTTGCGGAATTTTACAATTGAAAATAAAAAAAGTGTAGCCCTGTTTGAAAATTGAAATCCCAAGAAAACCTACTATCAAACAGTGTTAGACTTTATTCCTTTCGAGTTCGATAACCAGAGAATCCGCTCAGATATCAAAACGAACAGAGCGAAATTAGTTCTAAATAGGAACGCAAATTTCCTTTGGCGTACGTTTTTAAGACGGAGACGACAAATTATTAGAACTGTACCGATTTATGTTATGATATATTATGATGCCGATATAAAAAACCAATAACTGATCTGATATTTTATTTTCTTGGATCCAGAAACCGATATGAAAAAACCGATTTTTCTTTTAGATTTTGAGCGGAACCAGAAATGTATTGGTTTTACAATGGTTTTTATTTTATTTTGCTCTGATTTACAATGATAGCACTTTTTCTAAAAGGAAATCTGGCTGGGGAAGTACTTTAAAGTGGCCATTTTTTGATATTCCCTGGAGTTTTCCCAATAAATAGGAAAACATGGGGAATATAGGTACAATATTAAACAGATATTTTTAAAGAAAATATACAATGCATATGTAATTATGTTACCATAATTTGATGCATATTGTTGATAATAACCAACACTATCAACCGAATTCCGCTCAGAATCGTTTTTTTTCGTTAGCAATAGTTGCTTACAGATATTATATATTAAATTAGATACCTATATTAGTGATTGCACGCGTCCCCCCCCCCCATTATCCTATAGGAAAGCTTTTTTTTCGATAAAAATATAATTTTAATGCTAATTTATACAGTTTTCGTACTGTTAAACCGAAAATAATTCGTAAAGAGAAAAGATTTGGAATAAACGAGCCACTATTATTAGTAAATTGTATTATAATTGATATTTAGGTATAAACTGTAAACTATAGGTATAACGCGCTATACATCATATGTTTATACTATTAACGGTCTGTGGTTAAACCTGGCAAGACGGTACCCGTGATGGAAAATACAAACGTAAAACATTAATATTGTACCTATAGAGTGATCAACAAAATGCAATACGCTCGTTGTCCCGGAAAGAGTTAATTGTTTAATTTTTTTTTTTTTTTTTTTTAAGACTATAAGCGCAAATATAAGGTAGAACGAGGCTTTTCTACAAATCCATAAATTATAAATTATTAATGTATTCACTTCTTGGCCAAAAAAAAAAAAAGTCAATTTTTGTTATATCTTAGACCCAGTTGCTGAGATTGTAAATCGTTTTTTGATTTTTCCAGCAGTTTTCATAATAATATTGGGAAAAACAGAAAAAATATGAAAATGAAAACGAACAAATTTATTTTTTTATCCATTTCGGAATAAACCTTCTTGAGTGTATACTATATATATATATATGTAGGTATCTATTTACGCATAACTGAGACTAATCCTTACATTTTTAATACGATTTTTTTCTTCTCTCACTCGCTTATATCTATAATACGTATCCAATTATAACGTTCACAGTGTTGTACGTAGGACACTCAAAAAAAAAAAATAATAAAATAACTATTGTTTATTACTATTATTATTATTTATTTCGACGATATTTTTGATTAAATACGATTTTTTTTTTTCTGTGAGCATATTACATTATACTTTCGAGTGTACACAGGTAGACGATTGTAGATCATTATAAATATGTGGTTCCCGACCTTTTTGTGACCATTAACAATACATTGGGTTAGATATTATCGAATATCCTCCCCCCTCCCTCCCCTCCCCAAAAAAAATTTAATTTAAAAACCTAAATAATATTTTTAATCGACGATACCGATCAATGAACACGGCATCGATAAGTAGGTATTTGAGTGTACGACACTAATTGGCTAGCAGTGTACGACTGACAGTTGCAAACCATTGTATATTGATATAATTTTATAATAAGATATCTGTCATCTTTTATCTGATTGTCCATTGGATGTTCCATAAAGGAATTTTTCGAATGTTTATACAAGTTGTCGATAGACGAACGCTGTAACAAAAATAATCCTAAGAAACCTAAAATAACAATGTAAAAATATCATAAAAACTACAAGAAACTGCCGGTCTTAGTTCATATGGTTAAATCTTAAATGGATATAATAAATATTTGAAATACAACTCAAGTAATAATATATTTAATATTTAACGTCCTAATAGTACTATATAGAAATATTATTAAAATTTCATAATATTTACATTACAAATTTCAAATATTATTGTTGGTAAAATTAAAAAAAAAATAATAATAATAATAATAATCAATTTAATTGGAGATATTCAAGGGATATATCTTCGTGGGACAACCTGTATAATTCATAATAATACGTGATGCATGAAATAACAAATAAAAAAAAAATTGGCCTTATCTTTAACACTCAGAAAATTTCGTTTTACTCCCAGGTCGAGAACCGCTATTCTAAATTATGGAATAATTCTACTCGAGTGTTACATCGATCCATTGCCATCATATTTGTGATCAATTTATCACCATTTCTTGTACTATCCCTGTCTAAATTTTAGTATTTTTGTTAAAATGTAGATGAAATGAGGAGGGGGGGGGATGGGCATTTGAAAATTTTAAATTAATATCGATGTAAAATATATGGAATAGGGGTACAAATTGAAAAATGGGTTGGTTAAAATATATAAGTAATTAATCATTTCGTAATGATTAAAATAAAAAACGGAAATCAAATTTATTTAAAATCCTAGAAAATTGCTAAGTCGTGATAAAATAATCGCTCAGTCCAAAAGCTGAATGAATAGACGTATATATTTATTTTTGTTGTTTTTTTTTTTGTGAAAAATTGTATAAAAAATATCGATCTCGTATAAAAAAAAAAAATTGATTTAGGACGCCGCAGGTATGTATTTATAATATAAAAATGGTGACGGATACGCCGTCCGCCGCCGTCTATCTCCTCGCTTTTGTGGTTGTAGAATTATTGTTCTTACTATTTCTTTTCGTACCGCTGAATAACTTATAATATTGTTCCTACTTATCGAGTATAATAACACTTTCTAAATTTAGAACAAGTGAGTATTGGATTGTGGTTGTTTTTTTTTTTTTTTCGAAAAAGTAAAACGATTCAAGATCGTTAACACGTTAACAGCCGCCGCTACTTATATATTGACGCGAATAGGCCGATGGGAAATATTGCTATTGTACGTAAACACGAATATTCAAAGTTAACAAAAAAAAAAAAAAAAAATAATACTAATAATAGTAATATAGTATTTTTTATTTTTAATCTAGTTTAGATCATAACAAATTATCATCGTATGAATACTTATTTATTTATTTATTTATTTATTTCGTATGGCATTGTATGCCTGCTAAATTACGATCACTATGGTGTTTATCTTGGAATTTGAATATTATTTTTGAATTTGACTCTCACAGCTGCTGCAGTCATCAGCTACTAATGTGCCTAAATAAAAGTACCTACACGTTTGTCGAACACAGACGTTACATCTAAATTTCGTGTAGCCAGTCGCTACGTTTCGTCTTTGGCTTTCCGTTGTCACTTAGCATGTGCATATAGTATCGCGTACCAATCTATTTGAACTCTGGAGTTTAGGCAAGTACATATTTTCTAATTATAATTTACACCAATTTAAATAACTATACGGATATTATTATTTATAAATTTACAATTATTATTGGATACGTACAAATGTACATATACATCTTTACAGTCCCGTACGTTTCCCCGTCCCTCCCCCACTTGATTTTAAAGTATGACATTTTTCTTGGCCCAACCGTTAGTATTGAATAGTAGAACAAAAGTACCTAACCTAACCTATACCGTACATAGGTAATGATATTTAGGTAGACATATTTGTATACATTTTTCGCAAGTAATCGAATGAAAATTAGTTATGGTTATTTATTAAATACTTACAATTATTCGAAAATAGACCAGTAAGAAAGAGATAGTAATATAAGCGTACGCACGAGGTAGGCAGGAGAGGCGGCAGTCCCCGGTGAGATTTTCCACAAAAATATTTTTTAAAACAATATGTTAGATATACATTTTTTTTTAAATATTAAACCCTAAGCTACCTTTAATTTTGACCCCCCTCCTCGAATACTCAACTAAGCCTCCTAAAATAAATTCCTCATCAAGTAAATACTAAGTATAGATTTCAATATTATCGGGGCTTAAGCCACCTTCAAAAATATTGGCATTAATTTTGCTTATGTTTTTTGTGTACCTTAGGTTAAAAATCATTGTCATGGGGATAAGCACCAGAAATAAGAAACAATTCATTACATTTAAGTACAAATACATTTATTTTACGAAATAAATAAAAATGAAAACTTGTTTGTTATCATTTAAACTGTCCTCTCAAATTATATCGTGTTCAATTTTTGGAACTTCGTGTAGATATAATGGTACCTAGGTGGAAAAATTTTTTTTTTAACAACTTAAATTTTTAGATTTTGAGCGCAGCGAGGGAGCTATTGATTTTACAATGCTGTTTATTTTTTATTTTTTCTTTCTTTGTTCTAGTCTGTGGACACGCTTTTCCCTAGTAAACTTGCTCGTGTGACTATTTCTCCGAAAGCTTAAGTTATCTAGATGGTACATTATATCGGTAGTTTTTTAATTTTCAACGAAATTTTTTAAATAAAATCACTCAAGTTGGAAAAAACGTAGGAAAACTTACAATTTCACGGTTTCATTATTTTATAAAAACACGGACGATGTTTTCTACCAGAAAAAATGATTAAATCGAACAATCACAAGATATCTTTGTTATTTACATTCATAGCCAAAACTTTCGAGATTTTAAAAAATTTTAATTCTTTGGAGTTTTTTACTGTAATTCGGTTATATATACGCGTAGACACCTGAAACTTGGTAATAATACTTATATTGGACTTACCTAGACGTAATAAAATTTCCAAAATCATCGGACGACTTTTTTTTTTTATTTAATAAGCGTTATGAAATAAAATTTAAACGGTTATCGCAAAAAAAAAAAAAAATTAACGGCACTTCAAATTGTATGTATTACCGAACTGCGCTCAGAATCGTCTTCGTCAAGCAATGGTTTATCGGTGCTTACAGATATAAATGAAATAACCTTATGTATCCTATCCACCCAACTTCTCATCCACAACAGTGGCCGCTCCCATTCCCAGTATTGGCTCTATTTTTTTTTTTTTTTTGGAAATCGGAAGAGGGTAATGTTAAATTTATACGGTTTTCTTAACGAAAAAAAGAGGTGGCTGTTGGCGTTCACGAGGTTAAGGTAATTGTTTTGTCGTATCTCGGAAATGATCACGTGGACACCGCTGGATTCTGTTTTTCCGGGGACGTGAGAGTGTATGCCTATCCGCCCCTGAATTTAGCGTGTACCTATATATGTGTAATAAAATATTAATTATAACGCGTATTTTGCTGTTTACGTGTGCGATACAGATGGCTGCGTCAGACTACAAGAAGTCGACGGTGCAGCAGATAAAGGACGCTCCGCTGGAAGAGTTGCGCAAGGACGCGCGCGTGTGGATGGCGTACGAACGCGGGTGGTGCGACTTTATGCAGGCCTACGTGGGCGCGCAGCTGATGCAGTCCAACGCGGAAGTCGAGCTGTGCGACTATGTGAACTATCACACGAGGCGTACGCGACAGTTGGCCGCGGCCGGGAACGGGACGGACGCCGACGAGATGGAACGCGAGCGCGACCGTCGCCAGCGCGCCGGACGGCCCGTCGCCACCGTATCGGCCGCCCGCCGCCGGTGCGTGGACAAGACCGGGGCCGCGGTCGAGCCGGAGGACGACAGGGCTGCAGAACAGGAACGCGGCCGTCGCCGCCGCGCGCACTCGCCGGACGACGACGACCGTGACGCCGCCGTCTCGGCCGTCCAGGAGTCCATGGGCCGGATCACACTGGCGGACTGGCCGGCTTCCGGAACATCCGACGAGGACGGTCGTTTCCGTTCGGTTTGAGACAGTGCAGAACTCGCGTGCGAACAATATCATTTTACACAGCCTTAGCATTATCAATATTATTGTATCGGTACATAATAATATTATTATTAAACCTACGTACGAAAATATTTTATAATTTCATGTAAACAATAATGTTATATATTTGCGAATTATTTTATTACATTACGAACTGATATTATTATCATAATACGCTTATCACATCATTGATTATTTTTGCATCGAATATTGTAATTCGATATACTATACTTATTTAGAATTTTTTTTTTTTTTTTTTATTTATACATTCGAATCGAATACAATAATAATTATAATTTTTTTATACATTTTTTTTTTTTTGTTTTTTTCAAATAAAACTAATTGACATACTTATTACACCTATATATTATACGTTCGTCCGACGAACAAAACGAATTATACTTGGTATTGTCACTCCGGGACACTCCATTACCTGCAGATACCATAATAACGTTCCTACTTCGGTTCACGGGTAGGTGACCGTGGAACGTTTTTTTTTTTTTTTTTCTTTTTTAATCAAGGATTTTCTCGTACAGGGTTGTATGTGACGTAAAATACTGAAAACGACGGCAAATCGTCGCGATCGAAACGATAGATAGATTTGATATTATATAGATAGATCACGATAGATTTTAAACGGTAAAATGCCGCCGAGTTTATAGACGTTTTAGGTATGAGTAAAGAGGAGAAAAGTCGTGTATTATCTTTATGATGTGTGCGTATTTTTTTCCTTTTAATAATTTTTTATTATCTTCTTTGCTCTAATCAAAATATGACAAAAAACCTTGAGAAAAAAAACTGAGAAAAACGGGAAAATATTACGATTTTCTTTTCTGTAGACAACTTTTCTACCAGCAATTTTGCTCCGATTTACAATAATAGCACTTTTTCTGAAAAGAAATCTGAGTAGGAAGGTACTTTATGGAGGTCATTTTTTTCGATTTTCCAGGAAATGCGAAAAACCGGGAAAAATTATAGGAAAACGTAGGAAAAACGGGAAAATCGATACAATATTAAACAAATATTGTTAAATAAAATATATAATTTATTATAGGTACACAGTATGTGTTTAAACTTTAGTTGACTATTGCAGACTGCAGTAAAAAATAATAAAATATAATTATTTATTGTTAATAATCGTGTGAGCGAGTAAATATTTATACACAAATTACTGACAATGGAAATGTCGCATGAATGTTGCATGAACATTACATATCATGTATTTATTATAATTTACCTAACCACGTCACCGGGAAATATTTTATTATTTTTTAGAAATATTATCGACTTTCGATCTAGTCGCACTGATTTTCATGGCTTTTTTTCCATCTATGGGCCCCTTAAAAAAAAAAAAAAAATTCCCCAGGATCCTTTGGTGTGCCCGGTCGGCATTGGTCGTAAAGATCCGAAACTTTCACATTCACAGCATACTAATTTTCTTAGTAATGACAAACGGCCCTTTTCAAACGTTACTCCGTGTAACCTATTTAAATTAATTTTGTATGTTATCGTAAAAAACTTTAAAGAGAATCATTTTATTTTATTATCATTGAACAATTTGAAGACAGCCATTTTATAGAGTTTATTCTTTTGGACATTTTGACGGTTCAGCTTTCTGTTTTAATTAAATTCGTGATTTTTAATAAATGTTTAAAGTTCAGAGAAAACAAGTGTACAATAAATTAGCCATAATAATAATAATAATAATATTAATCAATTGGCGAATGCAATTACTGCAGCCTGCTGCGTAATTATCGGTACTTTTCTCCGAACTTTAATAACCTATTGATAATCACGAATTTAATGAAAATAAAAAGCCAAAACGTCAACATTTTCAGAAGAATATAATATACTCTATAAAACGGCTATTTTCAAATTTTTCGAAAACAGCAAAACAAAAAAAAATCACGACTTTTGGTTTTTTACCAAAACATAGGAATTGAATTCAAGTCTGAATATTCGCATTCCTCGTGTCTTTGCGATTCGTACACAAAAAAAGAGAATAAGACACACCGCGTACACACCTACTAAATACGTTAACGAAACGTTCAGACCAATCGGCCGGGGCGCACTTATCGATCATAATATTGCGGTGAACCAAAGACCGATATTGCCGGTGACGACTGTTGGCAATCGGAACGACAGCTATAATAAGGACGGGGATCGAGCGTGGGCTCGCACGTACAGTGGCGTGCCGGCGATCCGCTTAATAAACTGCGCCATTAGCCGACTCGACGCGATTCGACGTCAGAGATTCAATTGTCAGAGACTTCGTCACCGCCCGACTGCAGGGTCGCAATCGGGGTAGCTATAGGCGCGGGGACGAAACGCGAGGGGGTCCGCGGGCCTTTCGCCGCCGAAGCCGGTCCGGGGAACCGAGAATGAGTGAAAGGACGGGAGATGCTCGCGCGCGGCAATCCGCCGTCGTTCGAGATGTTTTTTTTTTTTTTACCGTGGAATGTCGTCATAATGTGAAATACCCACTCGTCTTGGATTGTGTTTCAATTTATAGGTAACGGACGGGAATCACGACAATTTATTCTGATACGCGGCGGCGACGGCGGCGGTGCAGGGGAATCCGTCCGTCCGACATGTCCCCCCCCCCACACACACACACACACACGCACACGTATCTGACGCACGTGGATTATTTACGGTCGTTTTTATTTTTTTTTTTTATTTGGTATTTTTTATTTTCAACGTAAACGCTGTATTTGTTCAGTTTGTTCCCAGCCGTTTTTCACCGAAAACCCGCGCGTCGGACCGCCGGTATAATGGGAAAGCGCACGTAACAACGTTAATGCGTTGCCGTTATAATTTACTGCGCCCGGGTGCCCCCGCCCATGCATAAATTGTAATAACGACCGGCACCTGCAGCGCGGTGCGGCCGGGTCGGGCGCCGAAAAGTCCGGCGTCCGTCGAAATCGCGGCGACGTCGCATCGGCGCCCCCGTACACCCCGCAGCAGGGGTCCCCGAGGGTTATCGCGCGCGACGAACGTACGGCCGCGCACCGCGCCGCAACGACGACGCGACGCCGTACGATTATTCATTTACGTGCGCGCACACGTTTATTACCGCCGAACGGGCCGTGTGGTTGGTACCCGTGCAGCGCAACGGGTACGCGCAGCCACACGTAGTTTTGTCCGAGCGACACGGCTGTAATCGTTGGACGCCGGCGGCGACAATTGTCCGCAAATCGGTGACCCGGACACCATCACAGAGCCGACGGGGAATAATAACAATATTGCGAACGTACCCGGCCCCCCCCTCCCCGTCGCTCACACACCCCATCCCGCCCGGACCTTTTCAATCTACGCGACGGCACTGTATAGGTTTTTTTAAAACGTTTTTGTATTTTTTTTTGTTTTTCAATCGCAATCGTCCGGGTTCGGGTACGCCGCGTACTGGCTTCGGTCTTGCCGGTAAACTGCGCTCGAATTTCCATATACGTACGTACGTTTCCAAAAACGGCATTAACCGTCATGCGATATCGACATCATAATCCGACGTTGTCACAGGTTTCGAGTAAGCTGTAATGTATTCATTTTGCGCGCATAAATCCGTTTGACCCCGGCCAAAGATACGCGGCGATGTAGGGTTTGTATCAACTGCAGGCAGGTTAGTTTTCGTACCTATAGTACTTGTCGTCGAAAAATACGTTTTTGGCATTGAAAAAAAAAAAAAAATCAGAAAAAGACGTCCTAGGAAAGTAGGGACGGGAGCAGCCACTGTTATGGGTAATTTAATGTATACCTGTCAGCATTGCTTAAGAAAAAACGATTCTGAACGGAGTTCAGTTGATACTCTGACAGTGATGCTTTGTCAACAATATGTATACCGTATTATAGTAAAATAATTAAATGGTCGGGCTCTATATATTTTCTTTAATAATGTTTGTTTAATGTTGTACCGATTTTCCCATGGTTTTCCCAAATTTCACATTTGCTGAGAAAACTCCGGAGAAAATCGAAAAGCGACCTCTCTAAAGTACCTCCTCAGTGAAATTTCCTTTTAGAAAAGTTGCTGTCATTAAAAGTTGGAGCAAAATTGCTGGTAGGAAAGTTGTCCATAGAAAAAAAATCGTAATATTTACTAATATGTTTCGTAAATTTATATATAAATAAATTAAGACCCACCCATCCACCCGAAACATGGATTTTTATAATGTTATGTACTATAAATAATTTGTTTACAACAAAAACCTTATTTAACTACTTTGATAACGTAATACTATAAACTTAAAACTATCATTACTCGTATTTTTTTTACTGTCGGACAAAAAGACCGAGCACATTTTTATTGTCAGACAAAAAACCCGAAACACAAAAAACGATCTTCTTATTATTATTACACTCAAATTAGATAAATCTACATCTAATAAATCAATCATTATTTTTCGGCTATATTTATACCATATAAAGAAAAAAAAATATGTTTATTTAATGGACATTCATATCTCTACGGTTTATCATAAACTTGTTTCGAGTATTCGGTGGAAGTGTTCAAATAAAATTTCGAAAAAATGTCCGGCTACTTTAGTAAGTTCCAATAGTAAGCTGAAAATTGTTATTATTTTTATTATCATAGAGTGATCAATATTTATATTGATTATTTTTCAAAACGGACCTCTTGTCCTCGGACTTTTCGTCCGGGATTCATAGTATATAGGTTAAATTATAGTAAAATTTTAAATTTTAAATTTTAAGTCCCCTTTCCCCCCCCCAAAAAAAAAAAGTCCATATTAAAATTGTAGCAAAGGGGCACACTAATTAGTAAAAACAATATACATACATCAAAAATATTGAATGGAACAAAGGCTATTTCAAGTGGCAGATCATCGTGGGACACTCTGTATGTACATACCCATGTTTTAAACTATAAGTAAGTTTATGACATGTTAACATAAAATTACTGTTAATAAAACATTTTGTATGCGTAAATCAAACTTTCGTTTCGAATATTTTTGTACTATTCAGTGTGTTCGACACGTTTGGTAACTTGGTATTGTTTCGACCAAAGTGAATTGGCCGAAAAGGAAAGGGTACGATTTTGGTCGAAAACGGTCTCGCCCATTTAAACTTAACAAAACATCGCGTACGCCCAAATGGAGAAGTGGGTGTCCTACGGTAGGCTAATGGTAATGACACTGATGAAAAACCACGAATTGAATCAACGCTGGTACAATTTTGAGATTCGCGGCTAGGAAGCATTACGACTTTATGAGTATTGCGTATTCAGTAAAATTCGAACATTTCGTTTCATTGACGCGAAATCGTGTTATGCAAAACAGACGATCCACTGCACCCAATTAGGTAGATATGTATTAGTGCCGTTTGTTTCTTTAATTCGATATGCAACTACATTTTACATTTAAATCACGGCATTGATATGCACGAATGTTTATTATTCGAAATTGATTCGGTGAAATTGTTTTCTTTTCAAGTTCAACGAACCGGGTTGTCTAGGTACCTTATAATTGCGTTCAAAACATAACGGTATCGCGCATGATTTTTCCAAAAAATATTATTCTATATTAACGTGTATGCATGCGTACAGACCGCAGGTACCCATCGCGGACGAAATATATTCCGCCGTATTATATAATTGTGCGAGCGTATTATTTTAAATGTGAAAAACGCTGGGAAACCGAATGAACGGGGAAATAATCCAAAACAGTATTGCCGTTCCAGAATGCGATTTACCGTTTAACGCTCTTAGCAAATTCTAGATCAAAAGTGATTATTTTTTACCATCGGTTTAACAGCTGTCGGACATTTTATCCGTAAATTGTGCTTCCAAATGAATTACCATATTAGCCGTATTTCTATTACCTATCTATATTGTGCTGCGAAGACGCAACGAAGATGGAACGGTATTATTGTTTTTTTTTTTTTTTTTTTATCTATCATTCTCGCGGTGGAGGGGATTGGGAAAAAAAAATCTGTCATCACGGAATTGCCGACCGTGAGGGTCACGGTCAGCCGGTACGCCGGCAGTTGAACATTATTATTAACGTAGTTATCATAATATTTTTCAATAATATTATATCTGTGCATGTGCATTAGCGGTTTCACTCTACAACAGTCACGAGCACCAACACACACCGTCCCCACTCCAAATACGACGTTCCTGTCGGTCCGTAGCGTTACCGACGTTATCATGAAAATTGTACGGCCCGATAACATCGTTATTCGTTAACTGTTCACAAACAGCATCGCCAACCGGATGGTAATAATTAACAAAACTCACCCGCGTCCTGGGTACCTACCAGCAGCGAGGGGTTTTGGATTCGCGAAAACTGTATTTGTATTTCTTTTTTTCTTCCGCTCGTTATCTACAACGCCGTACTACACACTTTATTGTTGTTTAATTATTATTAGCTCCACGGCAGTACTATCTACGACCGTGATTAGCGCTGCCGCTATCACGAAACCAATTGTTATCAAATATTATCCGCCAGTACCACGGGTCAATACCGTTACGACGACAATTGACCTACGCGGCGATTAGGCGGACGGCAACGTAAATTTTATATAGGTATCTGTCTATCTGATATAATTGGTGTCGCCGCCGTCAACGATTACACTGTTTTGTGTTCGTTTCGTTATCGGTATTGTCGTACTCGAACGATTAGTTATTGGAAAATTATCGAGGTTTTTTGTAATGCGATATTATATTTTTTAGGCGCATAAAATAATTTATATTTTTTTTTATCGTACGATAGTAAACACTTAAAAATTTAAATCATTCGGAGTGTGTTGCTGAATGTATCGAGATTAACGCTGCGTTATTGTGCCGAGTTATCTGTCGGTGGGCGTCAATAAATCACTTACTAAAGTAATATTTTTTTTTGAACACGAAAACCGAACTAAGACGTCTGCCTGGAGCGCGCGTTCGTCGCCATCGACCGCCATCGCCATGGCTCACCGGCGACCGGCCGGCGGCACGTCTTCACCGTCGTCCGTCACTGCCAACGAGAACGCCATTAGGCTCCTGGAATCGTTGCAGAATGATTTCAAATGCCTGTCCATGGAGACGAAGAAAAAATACCCACAAATCAAAGAGGTAGGCAGGCTATTGGAACTGTGATACGTTAAAATATATTCCACCTCAGTCTAGTATATTTGACTCGTTGGGGAGGACAAACTTTCACCGTACTTAATATTAAACAATTATTTCAGGCGTCCGAAGAGGCCATAGTCAAACTAAGAAACTCCGCTGCTATTGCGGCCGATCACCTGCAACAACCCCATCACCATCATCATTTTCATCATATATATTATGTTGTCAATCAAATACTGTATCCCGTGGTGCAAGGTTGTGAAACCAAAGAACCAAAAATTGTCAAGGTTTGTACCTCTGTGTATGATTGGAAAATATTAGATGAACTTGTACAATTGTCTAATAGTTTTTCGTTTTTGTTGTTATTGTCTGTCATCTTACTCTGGCATTTTGTTTATAGATGTGCCTTGGGACCATACAGAAACTGATCACACATCGAGCAATTGATCAAAAAGGCGCTCGTTACATTACCGACACCTTATGGATGCTAATGGAATCAGGAACAGAGCATGTTAAAGTCTTGCAAAGTGTAACTCTGTTGTTGACCACTGATTGTGTGGTGCGTGGTGAAACGTTAGCTAGGGTAATAATCACATATATACTTAATATCTTATAAGTATTTCAATCTGACATAAAAATATTGAATAATTAGAAAAGTTATACTTAAATCAGATAAATTAATATTTTTATTTACTTAAATAAAATGTCTGTTTATAACTAATGTGTTACAGAATCTGGTGTTATGTTTTCGACTACATTTTACTAAAGATTCACCCTCTGTTATTAATACGGCTGGCGCCACAGTCCGGCAGTTAGTCGCCCTAGTATTTGAACGTGTTTTATTTGAAGATGAACAGCTCGAACAACAATTCACAGTCCATCCTGATATTAATAACGAGGAAAATGTGTATGACCAATACCAACAGAACGGGACAGAGGATGTCACTACATCAGTTCAAGATCATCGATCCCATCATAATTACCAATACAATGGTAATAACACTTATAGTAGTGATAACATTTCTGCAACGGTTGCTGCATTGGGCCCATGTGCAGCAGATGCATATCTCATGTTTCAGGTATTGTTTGGTGCAATAAATATAAATTAGTATGTTTTATATTTTGTGACATTTGAATATGTTAATTTTTTCTTGTAGGATCTCGTACGGTTAGTCAACACCGACCGACCATATTGGCTAGTTGGAATGACGGAAATGACTCGGACATTCGGTCTAGAATTATTGGAGTCTGTATTGTCCAATTTTCAACCAGTGTTCTATAAAGTAATTATTACTAATAGTTTTCATTGCAAATTATATTTTTTTGGAGATTATTTGATTACAAAATAAGCCAAATATTTGTGTACATTAATAATTTTATTTGTGTGATGCAAATATGCAAAAACAAAAATTAACTAAATATGCAGTTGTATGCATTATGGTTATACTTAAAGCATTATTATTTTTATAAATAATTTATGTTCAGTTTTTCAACTCTGCAAATACCTTTTTTGGACGATCTCTAAGTATATCAAAATTTAAAAAATGGAAATTAATTATAAAAATGTTCAGTATCATATTAAACAATTCTGTATAATTGTGTGCTAGACTTGGGCTGTGCATAAATGTATTTAAATTCGATCAAATATCTATTATTATTATTTGATATTGTTACTCATATATCAATTAAATGAAGTTTCATATAAGGGATTTCACCATCCTATTTTCTAGTAACTTATCATTTTGCCCATGTATTAATATGCTATATATTAAAGGATATAGAGTTCTAGGCTTGATAAGAAAAAACTACGATGCATTCTCAGACCCTGTATGTTTCAAAATATTCTTTATTGCATTAATTAGATTATTATTTTACCATAAGTCAGTGATATGGAAACTCTAACAAAAGGTATTTTGAGAAAATACACAGAATCCAGAGACACTAAGTTACTGTATAAAATAATAAAAACAATTTAAATGTTACAAATAGGGTTAGGATTTAAAGGCAAAATACTTTTTAAAAATAATTTTGATATAAAAATGTGTTTCATTTAATACTGTGAAGATAGATGTATTTTTCATTTTTTGGCCTTTTTTATTTATAGATGCCTTTTTTGTGTTTAATTTTTAACTGCTCTGATAGTCTTACACACAATATATCTATTAACGATTAAATCGATAAGATCTTGTGAAGACTGTGCATTATCCATGTGACATTTAAAATTATTTTTAGTAGGTTTTATCATTGGCTTTTTATTATATTTATCATAAATGCTTTATCGAGTACCTATTTGCATGGTGTTTTATTTTTTTTTTTTTTTGATATGAATAATGAATAGTCAACCTTTTAACTTTCAAAAATTATTTCTGTTAGCTCTGGTATACCTCAGGGTTCACACTTAAGGCTTTTATTAACATCTTTACATTAGGATCTATGGTAATTTTTTTTTAATGTGTTAATGTTCACTAATGACAATAAGTTATATTCAATTTTTAAAAATCACAATGATGCAATTAATCTCTCCAAGAAATTTAGATATGTTTAGCCCATGGTGTAACAAAAATGTATTACCTATAAATATTAATAAATGCAATGCTACTTTTTTGACTAAAAAAACTATCCTTCAGTCTTTAATTATAAAATTAATAATATTAGCATTAATAAGTGGATTTAGTTAGAGATCTGGGTATTTTCTTTTCCTGTAATTTATCTTTCTCTTTTAATTCTAATTTAATTATATATAAGGTATTTAAAATCTTAGGTTTCATATTAAGGAATAATAAAAAATTTAAACATGTTCATGCACTAAAACCGCTTTATTGTTCCCTTGTTAGGTCTAACTTAGAATTTGGATCATTGATATAGAATCAAAATTTGATTGGTAAACTTGTTTATAATGTTCAATATAAATTCCTAAAGTCAATTGCTTTCTGTTTAAATTTATCTACTTCCAAGGATTCAATGTCATTAGTAGGGGATTTTATTTATATTCAACCATGTGTGGTTAGACATAAGCTCTCTGACCTCTTATTGGATTATGATTTTCTCAATAATAATATTGATTACCCTAATTTATTAAGTAAGATCAATATTTTTACTCACAGATACTAGATTAAAATATTTAAATTTATTTTTTGTACTTATTTTAAAAAAAATTTGCACCAATTCTTTTTTTAAATCAAAAGCTTTAATTATTTTTTCAAACTAAAACTTACTTTTATATTTTGTAGGTATCACATTACTTTGTTTTTATATCTTTAATCAAACTATAATATTACTGTATGTATTTTTTCCTTTTTTTTTCTTTTTTTGTTCTTGACTGTTATCATATGTTTACTGTATTTAAAGGGCTATTGGTTTGTAAAATGTTAATATTAAACAATAATAAATAGATCCATATAAACTATAAAAAAAAAATATACAAATGTTCATAATTCCTAACTTTATTAATAATTTTCAATTTATGTATACATCTATATTTATTTCAAGTGAGTAATTAATAATATTATTGGTTATAAAAATTGAGAATGTTGTTTAAAAGAATTATATTTATTAAGAATACTAACATTAATATAAAATAAAATACCAATAATAATATTAATTGGTATTTTATTTTATAAGAATATTAAGAATTTCAGAAGATATTAACTATAAACTCCATGTTTTTTTTTTTTTTTTTAGCATTCAGAATTTGGTTTCCTGTTGAAAGAGAGAGTCTGTGCATTGGTAATAAAATTATTTTCACCCAATATAAAACATCATAGTGGCTATACTAGTGGCAGAAGAAATCCAATTAGTAATTCAGGGAACACAGTTTCTTCAAGCACAAATAATAACTCTGGTATGATGATGGCTAGTAATACTGGAAGTCCTACTTCTAATCATCGAGGAGATGACAGACCCCATTATGCAATTACAGTCAGATTGTTGCGGCTTGTTTCCATACTAGTTCGTAAATATCATAAACTTTTGGTATGTATGAATATATTTTTATTATTTATTATAATTTAGAAATATATCCCAGACATACAATTTTCCTCATCATTTAGATGTACTTTGTTCAATTTTGTAATTTTAGTAACATGTTAATTTTTTTTTTTGAAAGTATATATCAGTTATCTAATTAATTTAATTTGGTCCAGTTTAGGAAATAAGCAATTTCATGTCTAGTGTGTAGCACTTACACCTATACAGGGTGTCCCACAAAGATATACCCATTACAATATCTTCTGAAATAATAAAGATAATCAAATTTTCTTATTTTAAGGACTATAGATATTTATATTTGAATTAAATTTGTATGTTTTAGTAAAAAACATAAAAAAATTACTTTTTGATTTACTCTTTTGAAAATGTTGATATTTAACTTTTTATTTATGAAATTTGTGATTCTTAATAATTTTATAAAGTTTAGAGAAAAGGAGAGTAAATAAGCCATAATTATAATAAATTAATTAGTGAATGCAATTACTACCTGCTGCATAATTATTATAGGTATCTTCCTTTAAACTTTAAAAAAAGTATTAGATTATTCAAATATTTGTAGTCCTTATCCCTGTGAGTAATAAAAAAAAAAAACTTTGTGCACTATGTGCGCATACTAGAAGTGAAAATTCTTACGTTTAAACAGCTAGATTAAATTCAATTTTTTTTAATATGGATTGAAATAAAATGTTACCACTTTATTCTATCATAAAGATATAATATGATAACTGAAATAGTGCGAGGAAAAATCCAGATTTTAGATAGTTTGAAAATCCGAATTCTTGAATTTTATCAGACTTAATATACTCAGGATATGTTATTATCTGCATTCATATAAGTAATGTATATATTTTCGTAATCCGAAGAGTGATCTTGATAACATATTAAAATTCAAAATTTTAAATGACCAGAATAGATTGAGTATTGCATTCATAGATATAAAAATGGTATATTCTGAAAAAGGGGTTCAACCTGCACTATATATTAAAATTTTCTCCGAATGGTTTTCTCATTGTATTCACTCAGTGTCACACGTGTATGTGAGTGTTAACAGCTGATCATGGTGCTGATTAACTGGTGACTAAGGCCACTGTCACGTTTTTTTACCTTGAAATTTTATTCCCAGCACCCATAAAAAAGTTTCACTTAAAAAATAACCCAATTTGAATATCTTTATTATCTACAGAGATATTACAATGGGTAAATCCTCCTGGGACAGTGTCCCATGAAGATTACTACAATGTAATAATTTTTGTTCCATTTAATATTATGAATTTTTTTTTTTTGGGGATATTTTCTAAAGCCTTGGGATTCCATTTTATATTTCTATAAATTAAAAATAAAAATTGTTTTTTACTAAATCCAAGATAGTTATTTTATAAACAAAATTCAAGTTTTATAAATATTTACTTATTTTTATTATAAATATGATGAATAAATTATGTAGTTTTTATAATTTTTTGAAGTTTATAAAAATCATTAAATTTGTTTTTCATAGAAAAATTGTTAAATCTATTGATTAATTGAAGTTAAAGATAATTTAAATTGTTTTCTTTGTAATTTCTTTTATACATTTTAAAAAATTGTAGATATTTAATCATACATCATTAATAAAATATTGGACAATCTTGGATTTTGTAAAAACAATTAGTTTAAAAATTAAAAAATTTTCTTTTAGTTTTAATAAAAAAAAAATGTATGTAAAATATAAAACAAAGTAATTATATCACAAGATTTTAGTAATTATTCCAAAAAAAAAAAAAGGAAAATGTAAAGACATTAACAAAACAAAAGTTATTGTATTTGTGGAATCTTGTGAAGACAGACACCATGTATTGTGTATACTTATATATTATAATATTATTACAACTTAGTAATATTAATGAATAATTATATTATATAATCTTAACAAAATCGTTTATTTTGTTATTATATTTAATTATAATTCTTATCTAGATCACAGAGAGTGAGATATTTTTGTCATTTATTGTTAAATTTTTGGATGCTGATAAACCAGCATGGCAGCGATCTGTTGCCTTAGAAGTCTTGCATCGATTAATTGTTGAGTCTGATTTATTGGCTGCGTTTTGTGCCTGCTATGACCTCAAGATTCACAGTACTAAAATATTACGAAACATAATTGACTCATTGGCATGCTACATACAATCCCTATTCAATCCTTCCTTAGTAATGCCTGGAAGCAGTACTTTAAATAATGCCACTATATCGGGTGTGTATATTACAACAATAACATTTGAAAAAAATATTATTTTTATTATAATGTTAATAGTAGAATAAAAATATTATAATATTGTGTGTTTATTCTTCAGGAACAAGTAATTCAGTTTTACAAGGTCAGTCACCAAGTATGCTGGCTGGCATGCCAGTCGGACCAGGCATTTCACCACAACCAGGTTTTTTTAGTCGTAGTGGTATTTGGTTACCAGTTGTCATTCAATTGCCTACAGGTCAAGCTAAATCTATTTAGTGAGTATTATATTATAACATTTATAACATACTGTTATTCTAATAGTTATTAGTTTTTTAAAAAATTGATGCAACTTATAACTAATGTATTTACTTGATACTGTGTATAAAAAAATATGTGAAAAAAATCTAATTTTTCAATTTTTTTTTGTTTTTTGAACATATATATATATATATATTGATGGTTTAAAAACGATGGTGAAGTCAGAATTCAGTGGACTGACTAAGTTTCAAAATTATAGCTTTTTAAAATTCTAATATTTTAAGGATATTATATGTTATGTTAAATAATTAAATATTGTCTTCTGTAAAGTGTATTGTATTTGTCTTAGAGTTTGTGAGTTTATGCATAAGTACAAACTTTTTGCATTTTTTTCCCCCTTTTACCTAAACTAGAAAAAAACAAATGCATTTGAGTATATCTAGTGATCAATGCCATTGCTCACTGGGACTATTTTAACTGCAAAATACCCTTACATTTGTTGTGCAAACTTTTCTCCCAAAAATCTTGCTCAAGTATAACTTATTTTTTAAAAGTAAATTTAATCTTCATAGTAACTTGAATTCATTTTTTGGTTTCTTCAAGAGTTTCCTCATCAAATATTAAAAGGAAAAAACCCAAGAAAAAATGGGAATATGTATGAAATATATTAATAAAATAATTAAGATGTTTTTTTCTGTGGACATTTCTACCAGCAATTTTGCATTAATTTACAATGATAGCACTTTTACAAAAGGAAGTCTGGCTGGTGAGGTACTTTAAAAAGGTTATTTTTTGATTTTCTCAAGAGTTTTCCCAGCAAATGTGAAAAACCAGGGAAATCCGGGAAAAACAAGAAAATCGGTACAATATCAAACAAATAATATTGAAGAAAATATATAATACCTGTTTAATTATTTTACTATAATATGACATATATATTGTTGACAAATCATCACTATCACCTGAACTGCGCTCAAAATCATTTTTTTGGCAATGGTTTATCATTGCTTACAAATATAAATTATATTACCTATAAAAGTGGCTGCACTTGACCCCATTATCCTAGGACGTTTTTTATTTTGATTTGGTTTTATATCATATCATTTTTAAAAAACTTTATGCATAAATAATTTTTTTTGTGTTATAAAATATGTATTTAAATTTTAAATGGTTTATTTCTTTGACTTGATTAGTTTATGAATTACTTGGCTATTTGAACCTAAATTTTAAACTATTTGTTTGCCCAAAATAGCCTGGAAATGAATGACAAAAACGATGAACCACCACAGGTAGCTGATGGATATGGTGTGTCTGTGGCCTATGCATGTCTCGTTGATGCTGTACGTGCTATTCAGATTGAAATTCGACCTGACATACATCAAGGTGTCTATACATCTAAAAGTGACGAAAAGGATCATGAACGTGGAGATGGTGATGACACAGATAAAAAAACTAACACCATAGTAGATGATAATCACAGTGATGAATTGACAGATATCAAAAAATCGCCACTCCATGAACAGATAATCAACAGTACTTGGTGTGGGCTTCTATCCGCTTTCTGCACCCTGATTGAGTCTTGGTTGGTATTTTTATTGTTAATTAAATATTAGTTTATGTACATTGTGTGAGTGTATGAAGGTTAGTGTTAGGTAGAGTATGATATTTTTGAATATTAAATGTTTCAATATAATAGTAATACAATTATTTGACATCAATTACAAGATAAATAATACAGAAATACAAAGAATGGCTTTAGTTCTCTTTTCAAAAGCAAGCTTGTGCTGAGAGAGAGTTTGTGATACAAGTCACCATAAGAATTAGAACAAAATTTATAAAAAAAATAATAGTAAATAATGATAATAGAAAAATACTGATAGTATATAATAAATTACATGTTGTAATGGATAGTTGCATCTTAAAAAGCTAAAGCATAGAAAAGGCTAAATTTACCCTAATCTGTGCTTTAGACTTTGACCTAGAGCAGCTGGTACACATAATAATATTTAAATTTAACATAATAATAGAGCTAATATAGCAATTCGCATTTGGATATTAATAAAGAAAGAAACTTAACATAACAGTTATTGAAACAAAACATTAATTATATACTTTTTATACATTTTGTAACTATTAAATTTATAATTAACACAAAATTGAATAAACTTAAATTTTGGAATTTGTTGTTCAAATACAGTATTCATTTTAGAGACAATGATATTAGTATTGACCTTAAAATGAGTGTTGTAGATGTATCATGGAACATCAATGCATATTTTCATTTTATAAAATAACAGACAAATATTCTTTGTGTATAATGATTTTAAAATTAATATATCTAATTCTTTAAATATTTAATTGTAGGAAATAATGTGGGCTTATTGAATATAAACTTAAAGTTCTAATGGTTATTAGTTCATCAGTTATAAGAAATTGTTAGAAATATGTAATTGTTAAACTATGTTTCAGCACTGATGAAGGTATAACAGAAAACATGTTGAAGGCAATGCAAGCATATATCGGTTTATGTGGTCTGTTGGACATGCGAGCACCACGTGATGCATTTATCACAGCTGTATGTCGTTCGTGTTTACCACCACACTATAATCTGACTGTATTCAATGGCCAAACCAACACTTGTTGTACAGAACAACAGTCAACACCTTCATCAACTGCATCATACACTACATCAGCAACAATGTATGATCATCAATCATATAACACTGTTTCTGGTGGAGGTACATATAGCCCAGAATCTGCTGATTATAAACAACAACAACAGGTCGTTGTAGCCGTTGGAACACCACTGGCCACTTCTTCAACATTGCTTCAAGGTCTATCATCCTCTCAGAGTAAGAATTCTATAATGTGCTCATATATATCTTTCAACAAAATCTTAATTTTTTTTTGTCTGTATTTAGGTACATCAATACTAAACCAAGGGCCTGTCATGTTAACTGCCAAAAATCTACAATGTATGCGTGCTCTATTAATATTGGCCCATTGCCATGGCTCTATCTTGGGTTCTTCGTGGCACTTGGTGCTAACTACTTTACAAGTATGATTTTTCGAAAATTAAATTGTGTGTGATTAAATATGCATTTATAAAAATAATAATAAATAATGCATTTATAATAAAAATATTAATAAATAATGCATTTATAATATTATAATTAGAGTAAAGTGATCTATAATAATGTTTTGTAGCATCTCGTTTGGATATTGGGATTGAAACCCTCCACTGGTGGGAGCCTTAAGGCAGGAAATGGAGGATCAACAGGGACAACAAATAGACATGGTGGTGTTTCTACCACTGCTACTAACTCTGACAATAATCTAGTTGGTTCCTTATCAAATTCTTCAGGAACAGTATCAACAACCTCATCGTCAAATGTAGCAGTTATTACTACAGCTGTTATGGCGGCAGACTTACCTGTACTCTCAACTATGCTCAGTCAGCTATTTGAATCCAGTCGATACCTGGATGATGTAGCACTCCATCATTTAATTGACGCCCTTTGCAAATTATCACATGAAGCCATGGAACTCGCCTATTGTAATAGAGTAATTCTGATTTTATATTATATTTATTATATAAGATATAAATATTAAATAATGTGTAATCAAATCTTTTATATCACTCTATAATTGGACAAGCATTTATTGTAAATTATATTATAATTTGCAGGAACCATCACTGTTTGCGGTAGCCAAACTTTTAGAAACCGGATTAGTGAATCTTTCACGAATAGATATATTATGGAGACCTGTAACAAATCATATGTTAGATGTGTGTCAGCATCCACACATTAGGATGCGCGAATGGGGTGTTGAAGCAATAACTTATCTTGTAAAAGCAGCTTTGCAATATAAATATCAACCTCCATTGAAAGATAACCAAGTTAGTATTGTAGTAAAGTAAACAATTACCTGTGTCCTTTTAAAATCTAGACTTTCTATATCATGAATCATACGTTGTTTTTTTTAATAATAACCAATTAATTTTTTCTATTAATTTTATTAAACACTACGAGGGCGAACCCAAAAAAACCGAACTATTTTTGTACAAAGTTATTTATTTAATTTTTTTACAAAAAATATTTAATCTCCTTCAAAGTACTCTCCATTGGAGTTAATGCACTTGTCCAATCTTTTGTTCCAATTTTCGAAGCAATTTTTAAACTCATCTTTTGTGATGCCTACCAACGCCTCCGTTGTTTTTTTTTAACTTCATCAATGTCCGCGAAACGCTTTCCTTTCATGTTCCTTTTCATTCTGGGGAATAAAAAAAAGTCACAGGGAGACAGATCGGGTGAATAGGGTGGATGGGACACAGTGGTCATATCATTTTTGGTCAAAAACCGCTGTACAGAAAGGGCTGTGTGAACAGGAGCATTATCGTGATGAAAAAACCAGTCTCCTGACTGCCACAAATCAGATCTTCGCCTCAAACTGTTGCGTAATCTTTTTAACACCTCTAGGTAAAATGCCTGGTTAACTGTCTGACCAGGTGGAACAAACTCCGAATGGACGACTTCTCTCACATCAAAAAAACAAATGAACATTGTCTTAATGTTTGACCTCACTTGACGAGCTTTTTTAGGGCGAGGCGATGCTGGAATCTTCCATTGGCTCGATTGTTGCTTGGTTTCAGGATCATATCCATAGCACCATGATTCGTCACCTGTAATGACCTTGGAAAAGAAGTTTGGGTCATTTTGGAATTCTTCTTTCAAAGAAGAGCATGATTCCACGCGGCCTTGTTTTTGCTGCTCAGTTAGCAGTCGAGGAACAAATTTTGCAGCCACCCGTCTCATCCCCAAATCTTCACTTAAAATTCTCTGTACTGAACTCCATGTCACACCAGATCTCTCTACTACTTCTTCGATGGTTTACCGTCAATCTTCCAGGATAATTTTGTGAATTTTTTCTACATTTTCGTTGGTTCGCGCTGTCGAAGCGTCAAAACGTCCAGAGCGAACTTAGTCGTCTATAGACATTTTACCACTTTTGAAACGGGAAAACCACTCAAATAATTGAGTTTTCCCTAAAGCATCACCTTTGTAAGCTGTTTTCAACATCTCAAGGGTTTCTGTGCCTTTTTTCCCGAGCAGGAAGCAAAACTTGACAGCCCCGCACTGTTCACGCAAATCAGCCATTACAAAAACAATAAGTACGAAAAATAACTTTTGAAAAAAATATCACACCAACGTAACACAACCTTCCACGATGACATATTGGCATATTGAATGTTGAGAAGTATATACACCCCTACCAGAAAAAAATCGGTACTACTAAAACTCTGTCCCACACAACATCAGTTCGGTTTCTTTTGGGTACGCCTCGTATTTTACAGTAGACTTTTAGTAAAATATATAGTTTTTAAAAATTACATATTACTTTATTTGTTAAAATATTTTCATCAAGTTATAAAAACAACTTTCCTTCTTAAATTATTGGTATTTGAGGTTTCATTATAATATTTAGTGTAAATATTAAAATTTATCATCATATGATAATATTGTAGGTTAAGGTCAGTTAAGTAATTTGTTGTTTGATTAATGATTTTTTAATTATAGAGATTGCAAACATTATTGCTTAGTCCACTTTCACAATTATCTTTCAATTTACATGGTGATGTTCGACAACGACAATTGGAGTGTGTATTACAAGTATTACATAGTTCTGGTGAAACATTATCACATGGATGGCCATTGGTATTAAATATAGTAGGAGCAGTATCAGACCGACATGGGTATTGCCATATTTTTTTTTGATGACATAATGTATTAATATTAAATAGATATTTAATAGAACTGAGGAGTGATTAGAAAAAAAATTACCAGGATTGTTTTTTAAAATAAAATTATTAATTAAATATCTGATCTAAACAAATATCACCAAAGTCTAGATTGGTATGTATTTAAAAAGCTTAAAATAGTATACATTTATGTTGTAAAACAAATCTTGGAAACTTGTACTTTAGCCAAATAATATTAATATTCAAAATGTGTGTTTATATGAAACCCATTTTTTTTAAAATACTCACCCATAAATCATACTTTCAAGTTAAATAAAAAAATTATTTATGCATTTTCACAAAATTGATATTCAATCTTAAGAAAATTAAAATAAAACAAATGAATATGAATAAATTAGTTATTTTATATTTTAATAAAATATTAATATCTAAATATCTATATTTTGTTTAAGTATAAACAAAATAATTTATTATTATTATTATCAATTTAACAACTAAATATGTACAATTAAAAAAAAAAATGTATTAATATAATCTTTAAATAAATTAAAGTAATAAGTTAATGTTAAAAAAATTCCCCAATATATTGATTAAATCATACATTTGTATAAGATAAATTGTATAAAAAACAAGAACTAAAACTGCTGATGGGTTTTTCAGGCGAGAAATTGGGAAGGTAGGATATATATAATAATTTAATATATATATATATATGTACATTGTACACAACAATAAATCATTGCTAGCATAAACTGATTTTGAGCAAAGTTCAGTTAAACATGTTTTAAAATACTATAATTTTTACTATTAGTATTAAAATTTAAAGTTTTTCCTAATTATTAATAAAACTATTAGAAAAATAAAAAAATAATCTCTATGTACCAAATAGACAACAATTGCTACCAGTAATTACCCTATATAGTGACCAGAGCAATATTTCTGGTAAAAAAGTTGTTGACAGACAAATAATAAAAAAAACAATTACTATGATTTGTTTTCTCATGATGTAATTAATACAGTCCTAAAAGCAAGCTTTTCTCAGAATCTAAAATAATACAATTTGTAAAAAAAAAAAGAATTATTACTTCATTGGATTTTTTTACATAATATGTAGGTTTCTTTAAGTATAAAAATACAAACAATTCCAGACTTTAATTATCACATAAACCTAGCCACTTTTAACTACATCTGGTAATCCGGTAGATGTTGGTAATTAAAAAAAAAAAAAATTGGATTTTAATTAATTCTTAACATAGTCCTGTTATTTAGTTGTTATTATTTTTTTTTTTTGCTCACACCTCTTATAACTTGCCTATTAAATTAAATTTTGTACATAATGATAAAATATTATTATTATTAATGTGTGTATTTTACAGAGAGAACTTGATAAGAATAGCGTTTCAGTGTCTGCAACTAGTTGTTACCGACTTCCTACCATTAATGCCATATAAATGTTTACCATTGTGTTTGGAAACCACTGCTAAATTTGGCATGCAGACTCGTGAACTCAATATATCATTGACAGCAGTGGGGTTAATGGTAGTTATTTTTTTTTTATCTCTGACAAATAAAAGGGATTTTTTTATTTCTTAGCTATAGTCTATCTTTACATCATATCAAGACCAAATAAGCTTACTAATACAATACATTTCAGTTTGACTTTTTATTTTATAATATTTTTAAATAATTTAAACACAATATGAAAACAAATTGAATTTAATAGTACTTACATTTTGCCATAAATGTAACATAATCATTACTTTAGTGGGTGGTTTTGACAAGATGAAGTCACTTTGCATTTTTTCATTGGTTTTAGTGTAGCACTTTAGTAAAATTAGTCAGCCTAGGAATGCTAAGGCGCTTCCTTCGTGTCAGTCTTCATTTGTGCAACAACATTTTATTATTGTTATTTAAAATTAAAACTTAGTTATTGATTTCTGGAATTTGGTTCTAGAAAAAGAAATGACTAAATATGGAAACATGTTCCATATAACTTATGTTCATATGCCCTCACAGATATAGAATGTATTCGATTATAATTTTTTTATGTTTTGACCACTCCTCAAAAACAAAAGCTAGAATTCAACATAAAATTCTATTATTATTACTGGTTTTTTTTTTTCAATACTTAGTATTTTTTCTACTCAACAAGTTGAATTCAATAGTAATATTAATAGTAAGATATTATGTACATTTTTGTTGATTATGAAATTAATTACTGCATTTACTTCATATAAAGGGGCAAGGAGATCACTGTAAAATTTATCTGATATCGACCAATGATTTCTAAACTAAAACCATCGTGTGGTCTCATATTTTTCCTCAGTTTGAGCACTAATTATAATTGATTATACTGTAATAAATAAATTTAAAAAAATGAGAGGGGTTATAAAAATGTTAAATACTCAATAAGCTACTTATATTATGTATTATTTATGTATTGCCTTTTACAAAATTAGGAAAATGTTAAATATAATATTATTAACTTTTTACCTATTGTAAACATATGAGAATCCTCTTCAAAAGCTGTAGTAAAAACAGAGAACATAGAAAGTGAAACATGAATAGATTAATAATTGTTTATAGCAAAATGAACAAAAATTTAAAAAAATTCATAATTTGTATTTTAGATTATTTATATTAATCAAATGTAAAAAAAACACACAAAGAGACTAATAAAACGAAACTGATCATGACTCTGCCTTTGTTGAGTGAGTTATGTATATATAGAGCAAATGTGAGAATATTTATTTCTTTATCTAGCTAACTTTAATTTATTTAATATATTATATTATTGGTATAACCTTCACACAGATATCAAGTTGCATTTTTTACATATGATTAACAAACTAATAAAACTAAATAATTGATAATAGATTTTATACAATAAATATAGTATAACTGATTAATTTTAAATTATGGTATAATATACAGTATGCAATAGTATATATTATAGACTCATTACAATATTATATAATTTTATTATAGACATTTCCAAATATAGATGGTTGAACCGGTTAATAGGTCTTAAAGGTTGTTATTATTATTTAACTATATTATAATTGAGTTGGCAACATACTGGGTGCAGCCACTGTTGTAGGTGGAAAGTTGGAAAGGTAGGATACAGAAAAGAATTTAATGTATATCTGTAAGCAATGATAAACCATTGCTAATGAAAAAACAGCTCCGAGTGGAATTCGGTTGATAGTGATGCTTTGTTAACAATATGTGATATTATGGTAAAATAATTACATATGCAATATATATTATCTTTAATAATATTTGTTAAATATTGTAACTATTTTCTCGGTTTTCCTATATTTGTCCCATCTATTCCGAAAGCTATTGGGAACATCAAAAAATTACCTCCCTAAAGTAACTCCTCAGTCTGATTTCTTTTTAGAAAAGTGTCCATAGATAAAAAAAAATAAACATCTTTGTAAACCAAAAGCTTCTTCGCTCCACTCAAAATGTAAAATAGATATGCAATTTATTAACCTTCCCTACTACTCCAGTCTAAATTTTAAACTATTAACTAACTCATAAACTTTAAATCTAATATTATAGTTATGCATGTTAAAATGTCTACAAACATTTTCTCTATTCAAATCTATGTTAAAAAAAGGGCTTTCCTATTTGAAAAATAAAAGTATATACCTGTTTAATGTACATGAAATAAGGGTAAAAAAATTAAAAATGATCTTAAAATAAAGTTTACCAGATTCCACTATGATAAAAAAACAGAAATTGCTGGTTCATAATAAAAAATAAATCATCCTGAAGATTTGGAATACACAAATATATTATACCGTTCTAGTAACTCCAACAATTTTGTTGTTTTTTTATATTGCATTAAATGGTGAAAAAATGTTTGCTACTTATAAGAATGTACAATGTTGTGATACAATTTATTGTTTTTTTTTTTTAGTGGAATGTGGCTGATTATTTTAACCAAAACAAAGACAAATTGCATTGTAATAACAACAGTGAAAATATCAATAAATTGCCAGGAACTCGCAATGCCAGTGGTGAAACAACTGATGGTAACTTTGTGGATCAGGAGACCTCGGTGTCTGACCCACAAGAACTGATATATCCTGATTTTCCTGGTGTTACTATGCTAGCAGAAATGTCTGAATTCGACAAACTGTGGATGTGTTTGTTTACTAAACTGGGTAAATACAAAGTGTATATAATATGTTTTAATGCCATATATGCTTTAATCAAATTTATTTATAACATTATAGGTCATATAATTTTTCAATTCTTTTGGGTTACTTTATAATAATATATATAATTATATTAGTACCTAGTAAAATAAAAAGCTACAACATTTTGTTTTGACTGTTCAACTTGTTGAACTCATTTATGACCATCACTGCAACTAATAATTCTCCTTTTTATCGTTAAATACCTACAGATCCAAATATGTTTCTTTCCCATACTGCTAATATATTACCAGTTTCTTTTATTGTGGATCAAGTTGATGTTTATTTTATACATACAATTACTTTACATATTTATAACCTGTAGTATTGGGTTTTTCGCATTGAATTTTTATTTAAAAAAAAAAAAATCCAAATACTATATTTTGCAATTATTATTATTATAGGTGAACTGTGCATTGATCCCAGACCGGCTGTGAGGAAATCAGCAGGACAGACGTTGTTCTCAACAATTTCAGCACATGCCAACTTGTTGACACCATCTTCATGGAATGCAGTCTTGTGGCAGGTAATGTTCTTGTTGCTTAGTTCTCTGGGAGTCTTACACCATTATTAATTGTTAAAATTTAATACATGTATAGGTACTGTTCCCGTTGATGACAAAGGTGCAAGATTTTTGTGAATCAGCTAGTGATTCTACGTGTAACACAGTATCCACTGCTGATTGTCCTGGTGGTGGAAGTTTAAGCAGTAATGGGGGTTCAGCAGGTGGTACAATTTTGATTCACCATTCACGGAATACAGACCAAAAACAATGGGCTGAAACACAGGTTAGATAAATTATTTAAAAAAAAAAAATCACTACAAGAGGATAAAATTTCCGTTTATTTGTGAAAATTTGAAAACATAAACCTATGTAGCAGTGTATTGAGCTAGTTGATATTACAATGGTAAGGCTAACAGAAAGATTGGTATAATAGGTATAGTGTACAAGTCAATAATAATATATTAATAATTATATCTTATGCATAATTATAGTTACAAAAGTAGGTATTATATAATAATATCTACCTTATTTTTCTTTGCAGTATTTGTTATTTTTATAATTTAAACAAATGAAAAATTTACGTCAGTTACTAATACTAAGCAAAATAGTAAATGACTTGTGTAATATCTCACAAGATGGCATACGTATCACTTTTTAATAAAAATTACAAGCTTACTTTATATTATTTACAATATTGCAATGGTAAACAGTAGCTTCGAAAATAATATTTTGAATCTTTAATATTATTATCGTCGCTATAATACAGAAAACGTGATGTAATTTTGAATTTTTTTATTGTACCAAAGGTAAGTACGCTGTACGGTTTGGCCAGGGTGTTTAACGCGGAAAAATACTCAATGACCGTCGGCGGAGATTTCGTGAAAGCGTGGGCACTGTTGTTGGAGTACATGGAAAACGCCGCTTCGAACAGAAACGTGGAGGTTCGCATCAACAATTTGTTACTTATTTATTTTTTTGTTATTTTGGCCTCTCGGACGCCATCCCGTCGAATAAATAATTCGTTCCTGTTTTCGGCCCCTTTTCTTCAATCTGGTTTTCGATCCACCGAATTTACATTCCTTTTCACACCGTTTTTCCATCTTAGACGAGGCCTTTTTTTTTTTTGCTATTGTATTAATATACACTTCAATTACCGCTCTTATCATATTATACAAAATCGTATTTCCGCAAACCATCATATCCGACCCATATCAGTCGTATAATATTTATTTGTCTAAATGAATTATACAGTTACGTAGGCACGTTTTCAGTGCATTGTATCTGATGCCCTCTTCTAATCGTTTGTACGCGATTATTAATTTTCAATATTCGTCGACAGACGAGTGTTGTATTAAATGATACTAACTGTACTATTGATGGGAATAATCCGGATTCGCCGAAGTTTGGTAATCCGGACTTTTGGAATTCGGAATTAGAAATGTATTTAAAAGCCGAATTTTCGATTTCGAAACTTGATTTCGAATTGTTTTAGCCGTTTTCTGTATTGTTCAAAAACCAATCGTAATTATACATTTATTTAATGTAATACGAAATTGAAAAAAAAAAAAAAAAAAACTTGAAATTCAAAATCCATGTTTAGTTGTCCACAATCCGATAATCCGGATTTACGACACCATCGCTAATACTAACATCGGGGTCATCGAAATTTCCATTGCTATCGCGTGTGCCGCTTATTCGACAGAAGAATAATTTACGTATTCTACTCGTCTAAAGTAATTATGTCGATATTCGGCGATCCTCTCGTCGTGTTCGTTTCCACCGGTGCGCGCGCGTAAATCCGCGGCCGGTTCCGGCGCGCCGAGTTTTCCGTGGTTTCACGCCAAACGTGTCGTTCGGTGTTCTAGGTATCGCTCGCCGGTCTCCGTTCGTTGCACGAACTCTTGGTGGTGTACAGTGCCAATAACGTGCCGGGCAACGGTTGTCAGACGGCGGCACATAACGACAACAATCCGGCCGCGAAAACCGGCGGCCCGGCGAACGTCCAGTCGCCGCTACCGAAACCGGCGAGTCCGTTGTCGTCGATCGAGGACGAAATTTGGGCGTGCACGTGGACCGTGTGGATACGCATTGCCACGGCGTCCACGACGACGGCCGTAGCCGATCTCATGGCCAACACGCCGCTGCCGACGACAACGACGACGACGACCGCGACCGCGAGCACGGCGGTCTCCGGCAACAATAACAATTCGGCGACGGTAAAAGATCGCCGAATACGGGAATGTCAATCGCAATTGCACAACCAGACGCTGCAGCACAAGCAACAGTTTCTGACGGCCCTTTTGCAAATATTCCCGTTGATATTCACGCGCATTAAAACCAGGTAATAACATAATACGTCATAGTGTTATTACTACATTCATTTTACTTCTTCTTGTTCCAAGTGTATTACCTCTGCTTCTTCTTCTTCTTCTACTTCGCGTTCGTCCCGACTATTCGGGGTCGGCCACCGTGGCCCGAAATTTCCGTTTGACACTTGACCCCCGCCGCCTCTCTTGTTTGGTCTCCCGCCTTTATTTCCTTCGTCATTCTTAGGTACCACTTCCGATTCCACTGTCCTCCATCTCGGTCTATTTTATTTTATTTTATTTTTTTTTTTCGTCTACTATCGATGCTTAACGCAGCCAAAATAATTTTTTTATATTCTCAATTTATTAATGTGCCCCATAAAAAGGACGTGTTCTTTCCTGAAACTGCGTCACATGTAATCGTTCCTTATCCTAACTTCTCTCGCTACTCCATGCATCTATTTCATTCGTTGCCGCATTCTCTGTTCTATTTTTCTGTCAGCCGCCCAACATTCCGAACCAAGCAACACATGTTTCACCGCACTCTTGTAGAACTTAACACATCGGAATGCTCTTGTCGCATAAAAAACCCGACGACGCTTCTCTCCACATTATCCGACCACACTTGATCCTATGATTCACATCCTCGTCAAATCTCCCATTATTTCGTACAGCATATCCAATGGGTACGTAAAACTCTGAACTTCGCCTTATTACGTCACCGTGGCTCATTGTTGTTATCCGTCTTGTCCCGTTTCTCCAACTCATACTCCGTTGCACTTTTATTTATGTCACTAGACCCCGTGTTGATTTTGAACCTTTCTCTTCTGCCCTATTAAGGTTCACCGACGGCGATTTAAAAGACCTGTTCCGCGTGTTGGACTCGGCGGCCGCATTCGACGGTTCGGCGTTCGTGGTCATGTCCGAAGGAATCCACCACCATCACCTCCACCATTATCACCGGGAACAAATACAACAGCAGAGCTACTACGGCGGGGGCTACAGTCAACAGCAGCTGACACGGTTGCAAGACGAAATCTTGCAGTGTCTGGAAACGTTGGAACGGGAAACTCTGTTGTTCGCAGACGACGAACCGGCCAACCCGACGCCCGGTGCGGCCGCCGATCGCGCCCCCGCCGTCCACGCGGCTCGCGACGGCGATAAGAAAAGTCTAAAGCACGGACAGCGTACGAAGTTGGTCGAACGGTTCCTTTGTCCGCTGTTCGATCAGCTATTGAAATTCTGTCGTTTCGTGTGCCCGCCGTCGTCACACTTCGCCGCGGTCAACGGGCCTGCCGGCGGCAATTCCGGAGTACAACTGTCGAACGGCGGCAACGGTACGGCCGTCGACCATTTAAACCATCATAATAAAGTACGTAAAGTAACGACCGCGGTGTACGGGTTACCGGTACGCTGTCAGGTTAATAATATCCCGCGATACAATAATAATATAATACCTTGTATAGTTCGCGTGGGCGATGGCGGTCGATTCCAATTACGTGGCGTTTGGCGAGAAAGCCGTGCTCATGGTAGTCGATTTATACGGAATGACAGCGGCCGAACCGTGTGTCGTCAAAGGCGAAATTCTCAGGCAAATCATCGAGGTGAGTGATAAGCGATACATCGAAAACCGAAGTTTTATTTGTTAATACAGCGAAATCGATGTTTGCTGTAACATTATTCAACACACATACCCATAGGTATACCTACCCGGTTAAAATTTAAACAATTTACGTGGTTTTCGCTTGTCGCAGGTGTTTTCCGTGCCTTTGGCAGGTCGATACTCCAACCATCCTACGCCGGCGTCGACGTTTCACTGCTATGCGGATGTTGGCGCCGCGTCAGGAACCACTCAGCAACAGCAACAACAGTACCTCATGTTGGTCCGGCGGCGACTGCAACAGCAACAGAACACGTGGAAACTGTTAGTAGTGGGCCTAATGAACGTTTTGTCCGTGGGCGTGCCGTTGGCCCGGGATTACCGTGGCGACGATTACCTTTCCATATGGTCGCCACTAGGCTCCGTCCTTGAAGACATACTGTTTCCGAAAAAGTTTGTATACACCATGCTAATGGCCATATTGATATTATTCTTGGTTGCTACTCTTTCTGGACACGTGGAAAAGTTCTGGGAGTTTGTATTTAGTTAGGGAAATTGAAAATATTTCATGATAATTCCTGGAAGTTTGCAATTTGATATCAGGTTGAGGGTTTTTTCTATCAAACTAATGTTTATGGCAATGAAACCAAATAATTTTTTTAAACAATTAACACAAATTTTATTTAAATTATAGTTAAATTTTACTGCCAGCCAAAGAACCTGCTAGTGATTATAGTTAAAATTATATATTTATTCTATTAACAAAATTTAATTGGTTTTCCAATTAATTATGTTTATTTTTTATAAAACTTAATATATAGATGTAGTAAATAAATATATAGAATTAAAAAATGAATAAATTAATACCTGTAATATTATGGTAAATGTATTATACAACCAGTTTCAAATTAAAAATTCATCATCAAGTTTTTAGGAGTGTTAACCATTTTAATAATTTTGTTTTTCTTCTTTCTTGGGTTAATCGGCCGCTAGGATCACCCCATCTCACAACCAATTCTCCAGGCATCTCTATTCATCGCCAAATCCTTCCAGTTTGCTCCGCCTCCTAAGTCTTCTATATCTCTCTTAACTAAATCTTCCCATCTCAATTTTGGTCTTCCCAAAGGCCTTTTTCCTACTGGATTCTGTTCTAAATCCATTCTTAGTAAAGAGTTCTGGCTTCGCATTGCATGTCCTGCCCACAGCAACCTTTTTTTCTTGATCGTCTCTGCTATGTTATTTTCATTATTTTTCCTTCTTCTCCACTCTCCTGTGATGTTATCTTTTATTGGACCGAAGATCTTTCGTAATATTTTCCTTTCTAGTATTAAAAACTTATTCTCATCTGATTTCCTTAATGCCCAGGTACAATATCACTGTCTCTTTATCTCTCTTGATAATGATTTAGAACTTAATAGTTTCTCCAAACCATAATAAGTCCTGTTTCCCGCTTGGATTCTCGCGGCTACTTCCTTGGTGATATCATTTTTTTCAGTCACAATTGAGCCAAGATATTTGAAAGAATTGACTCTCTTAAATTTAAAATGATCTACCTCTAAAACGTGATCCATCCAATTTTGTCTACCTATAATCATATATTCAGTTTTTTGTTCATTAATTTGTAGTCTTACTTTCTGTGCTGTGTCATTAAGTCTGTCATAGAGCCGTTTAACTCCAGCTTAAGATTCGTTCATCAGTACTATATCATCGGCATATGCCAATAATGCGGAGTTTTATTCCTTCGTGGGGTTCAATTTTCATCCCTCTTATTACTTTTTCCAATACCAGGTTGAAGAGAATAGGTGAGATGGAATCACCCTATCTAAGGCCGGATTTTACTGTAATTTTGTTTTTACTTTATTATTTTATTATTTACGGCGTTCATACTTCCCCCTTCTATGGAAATTTTCAAACATAGTTTTAATTCCTAAACCAAATAAACCACCCGATCTGCCTTCCTCGTACAAGCCAATAAGCCTTTTACCTTTTCTAGCCAAACTATTAGAAAGATTAATACTTAAGAGGCTATTACCTTACATCTCTAAGTACAAGATCCTACCAGACTTCCAAATTGGGTTTTTGTTCAGAGCATAGTACAATACATCAGGTGCATAGATTAGTTGACGCAATTTCATACTCCTTAGAAAATAAAATATTATTGTACTTGCGCCTTTCTTGACATTAGTCAGGCGTTTGATAGAGAACAAAATTAAAAAATTTGTCTCCCCATGTATATTTTTATTACTTAAATCTTATCTAAACAATTGCCATTTTCAAATCCGATTTGGAGAAAATATTTGCTTAATTTATTTTGATTTGTATTATAAAGTACAAAAAAAGTAGCGGAATTTAAAATTGAGTATTTATTATTACCTAATTTTGTGTAATGTAATTTTTTTTTCTGGAAACCTGGCAACTTTCAAATTCAAAAAGAGTGGACACCCTTTTATTATTATCATCATCATCATCATTATTGTGTACCTATATAAGATATATTTTATTTATAATATGTTAGTTTTCCAATCTGTTCAATATAATATTATCGTTACAGCTTACCTCCATCATCCTCGATAGTTAAAAACAACAAAATTCAAGATGAAACTGATGAAAATGAATCTGTTATCATAGACTGTCAACTGGTTGAGTTTCTGAAAGATGAAATACTATCACAATCCACCAATGTGCCCCGGGAGTTCATCATGCGCGTAGTGGTATTATTGAACCGTGGTTCAGTACTGTCTACGACCACCGCTTCTGCTGTACCCAGTTACCCCTACAGCAATAGTGGTATTATTTTTTAAATTTTGTATAAAACATGATTTTCTCCAATTATATTATATACTTTTTTTCTAAAACATACCTAAACCATCTGACTGTCAAATACCATTGTATATAGGGTTCGATTCAATGTTGATGGTCGATTGCCGCGATGTTACTGGAGTTCCTAGTGGTACTGGCCCTAGCCCAGGCGTTGGTGGACCATCACCACCATCCATTTTACGTGAACAGTTTGCCAAAGTGTGTTTCGAAACACTGTTGCAGTTTTCATTAGTGGATGGTATCACTTCTACGTCCTCCTCATCATCTCCACCTCCGGAAACTGTGCAGGCACAAGCAAACCTCGACGACATCGGTTCCGCCACAGATGCTGTATTGATCACTGGAAAATTGGCTGTGACGGCCCTGTTGCATAGGTTCCAGGAAGTGGTCGAGAAATTTTGTCATGACCAAAATCTAACTGGAAAATGCCCTTTGCCGAGGTAATTTTTTAAAATAATAGGATGTCAGCACACTAATTGTTCTTACTCTTCTAACCCATTCATAATATATTAAATTTGCTTTCAGCAGAGCCAAAATTGTGTTATTAGCTGAAGTCTTAGTGTGAATTGACCTATTATCATACTTAAGGTTAAGAATATTATCTGTGTTTGTATATTGATATTTGCATGATATTTAAATTTTAAACCAAGATATGAGCATTTTTAAATTGTAATATTTTACGGGCTCGTAACTTACATAAAATGACATTGACATTGAAATGTCAAAAAAAGCTAATGCACAAACATAGATAATTTTCTTTATTTAAAGTTTGATAATAGATCAATTCACTCCAATATTTGGGCTAACAACACAATTTTGGTTCTGCTGTTTTGTATAAATTATGTTGTGCGTTGGTCAGAGATAGAAAATAAATAGTGGCATCTTTATAATGGATTCTTAAAGACTGATATTATATTATTTATGATGTGTGTATACAGGTATCGCATGTCAGAAATATCATTTGTATTAAAAGCGATAGCTACGCTCATTGTGTCATTGAAGAAAACTCCCGATAAAGGTAAATATCCAGTGCTGTATTAGGATACTTTAAATTAGTACCTAGATACAGATACAGATCCTATACTTAAAAAAGTATCTAGACACAGATACAAGTATCTCAAGAGTATCTTAAGATATATTTAATTCATTAATAATATAGAATTATAGAGTTATAACAAAACAAGTAAGGGGTACATAATTTTTAATACAAATATTTGTATCTATATTTTCAACTTTACTGCGTATGCGCCCACCAATTTTGTGTTAGTTTGAACATGTGTTGGAACAAACTTATTATTTCACTAGATTTAATATTTTACTGACATACCTACGAGTTTATTCTGCTATTACTACACTCCAACGAATGCCATTATCTTGAACTACCTATCTTCAGTTTTCTACTCAAACTTTTAAAATCAACTTACCAATTTACAACTTACAAGTCGTATAATTTTCTTCCTGGATCTTCCTTGGGTTTCCATTATTACCGGTTTCACCATATTCCTTATAGCTCCGTCGAACTTCCTTCCCCAGTTTCTTTTATCCTTCGTAGGTATATCATAGGCTATATCAGCGGTTCTCAACCTTTTTTCATTCACACACCCCTTGACCACTCACTACTACTTTACGGACCCCCCAAATGCCAATTTTTCATATATTTTCACATAAGATGTATATGAATTAACGAAATAAGTTTAATAATGAAAAATTTGATTTATTTTGATCAACATGCGCAATACATTGTATATATAAAAATAATATTGAGTTAAAAATGTAATTTTAATGTGATCCTTGAGATTGTTTGCTAGCACTTAACTTTTTGAAATCTGGCTCCACGGATGATAAATAAACTCGTAAGTCTGAACTCACCGAGAGTCTATTGCGGTACTTATTTTTAATAAATGTATATGACGAAAAGGCTCTCTCCACTAATACAGAGCTCGTAAATGGTAGTAAAACATTGAATGCTTTGTAAGAAAGCTCAGGATATTCGGCAATTAAAGCAAGCGACTGACTAATTATTGGAATACAAATATCAAACAAACCGTTCACAAGAATAGTTTTATCTGAATTTAAGATAATAAATACTATGTAATTGTGACAAGCAACGCCACATTACCAGATTACATACAATCTTATCGTACCCGCCACTATCGCTTATCGCTAGATAAGCTATCGCTTATCGCCTCCTAGAATGATATATTATACCTATTATAGTATTATACTCTTATTATACACTTATGCTAAATCGTATAAGTTACAATACATTGAATATATAAAAATAATATTGAGTTAAAAATGTAATTTTAATGTGATCCTTGATATTGTTTGCTAGCACTTAACTTTTTGAAATTTGGCATCTGGTGAAATACACTTATACTAAATCGTATAAGTTGCGAAAAACCTATTTACATCATTTACAATATTTCACAACTAGTTTCACAAGTAATTTCAATTAATTACAACAAATTTCAATTTTTTCGCCATCACCCCTAGGGTCCGCGGACCCCCGGTTGAGAATCGCTGGTCTATATAATAATTTCTGTTATTACTTTGTTCTCATAACTTCTTGATTTTATTACACTGTGATACTAATATTATTATAATGCATAATTTCACAGTCAATAAAGCTGTTTGGGATCAGTTGGTCCGACTGTACCCATGTCTAGTACGGTGCGTGCCGCACACCCAACAGTGTTATTCATCGCCTCAAGTCACGGATTCACTGACCGAAGCTTTGTTACAATACGGTGATCTGTTGCTCAAATCGCCACCTCCGTCAAGCGCCACTGACGCTCAACAAGAATAAGGGACACAATAATAATTTGTGTATAGTATTAAATATTGTAACAATTTTTTATTAATATTATTCTTCACGACGAGACATTCCTCGTGACGCCGCCACAGCTGCCACTGACACCGCTGGCTGTCACATGCCTTCTTTATAAATGATTTTTATTATTATCATTATTATTATTTTTTTTCATTTTTCATTTTGTTTTCTTTTTTTTACAAAGTCACTAACTAAGGCCCGTTCTTACAATATTTAGTTAACGTTAACCAAGCAGTTAAATTTGATGAAAGCCAGACAATTTTGTCAGTTTAACGCATGGTTAACCTTGATATTGTAAGGACCTAGCTAATATAGAATCTATTAATACAGATTCTGTATTGGTCTGTGGTATAGGTACAAACACATGCGAGTATTATCATTATTATTTATTTGTATGTTTATATGATATTAGTAATATTTAATATAGTATTATGCTGTTGATTTAATATTATTGATATGTAGTTTTCACCAAATAGTAATAATTTTGGTTACAGTATCTATATTATTATTATTGTGTTATATCATTATATTTATTCTTTGTTTTTTTTTTTTTTTTTTTTTTTTTTTTTTTATTATTTGTTTGTAAAAGCGTCTCATTTTGGGTACGCAGTACAGATAGTTTTATAATAATTGTACTATTATATTATGTGCACCTAACATGTTGCATTATATCAGAATACATTAATATTTATATACTTGGCTAAAAAATATCTATATCGGTTTAATATTGAATTTGGCAACCTGCAGGACCGGTATAAATTATATATTATTATTATAGTGATTATAATATTATATATAGTTATTATCATTGGTATTTTTTTTTTTTTTTTTTTTTTTTTTTTTTTAATATATTTATACTTTTACCTATATTTATAATATAATACATTTATAAGACAGGAGAGTTTTAAAAATATTTATATTTGAATGCGGGCAACAGTAGTGTTTGTATGGTTTTTGTTATTATTGTTAGGACTGAGATTTTAATGCCCTAAAAAATCTCAAAAAAAATTATTATTCTGAAATAATTTTGTAAATAGAAAAACTTTTTTCAATCTTGACTGATGTTACTGGAGCATACTTAAAATAAGAAATATTGTGTGATATTAAATCTATTAGAATATTTTTTCAGTTTTTTCATCATTTATAATTTTTGAATTATTTAATAGTATTTTTAACCCATTATTTTTCTTTGTCTATTTTTAGGAAAACTGTAATGTTGTTTTCATTTGGTGCTCTATTTATTATAACTTTTTTTTCTTCTATTTTTTTTTTAATGATTTTGATAAACTCATTCCACGAGTTTCTAATTTTGTAATTGATTCGGGCAATTTATTGAAATAGGTCTTTATATAAATTAAATATCGTTCTAAGCTAAAACCTTAAATCACTGTTTGTATCTTTTTAATAGAAATAATGTCTTCATTATTAAATTCCAAATATCAAAACTATAATATACACGTTGACTCTTGCGCTAACCAGAATACGCGTAGTACACATCTGGTGTTTTATTTAATATTTTTATATATTTTCACATTATTATGGACGTACTTGGTTGATTAGATATCATAAAATATAAACAATTTATTTGATATTGATGTATACTCGTTGGACAGTTTTAATCTAATTTCTTCAGCAACTATGCAATGCGTCCACAATACAGGTCACGTGTATCATTTTTGAATAAAATGTCTGAACTGATTATTCAGCTTTCACTATGCTGAATCAATTATTAAAATAGTAATACGTTGTCATATTTTATGCATTCCGGCCACAATAAAGAGAGATAATTATTGAACATTTTAGCAATAGTAGAATGGTTCGCTTTTTCGAGTACTTCACAATTTAAAAGAAATATTTTTCTAGAACAATCCATTTTTAAAGCGCCTATGAAGTTGGCAATCAAACGTACTTCTGTGTCAATTGTTCCATCCAAAGAAATCCAGATTTTCTTATCTGCTACATATTGAATTTATTTTATTCGTGGTATTGTAACATTTGGTAACATATTTTCTTGTTGAAGATCTACCAAGAATTAACTTATTGATGTACTTCTTTTAATCTAAAAAAATCTTTTAATATTAGATTTCCAAGTTTATTGAGTAGCGTATTGGCCGAAACAAAACGAAGACACCTGATTTTTATTTTGAAAAGTCTGTTTTTTTTGGTACCTGTTCGTCTAACTGTCTAATTGTTAGTCTGTTTAATTCCCTGGCGTTGTAATCCTTGTACGTGTTTATCTTGGGAGATGTGTTGTACAATAGTATATCTTTTTCAAAAAACACTTATTTCAAATATTTTGCAAAAAAAAAAAACACTATCTCGCCGTCCGCAGAAAATATTTTTCTACCGAATTCGTTGACATATTTCGTTAATCGAATTGATTTTGGCGTTTTTGCTTTTGCTTTGGCGTATAGAACCAAATCACACGCGATACAGAAACAAAACGAATACTGCCGAGTTTATAACTACGAACGTCCTAACCATGATAGGAATAATTATTTCTATCATTTCTTTATTCGTACTACGGCGCTTCAATCGTTATCGTTCATACATACATTGTGTATTAACAATAAATATGTATATACGAGATATACATATATTTATCAACTATTAGACTTAAGTTGTAAACTTAAATAGAATTATAAAAACGCTGTCCTAGGATAATGGAAACGGGTGCAGCCACTGTTGTATGGGGGAAGTTGGGAAGGTAAGATACAGAAAGGAATTTAATGTATATCTGTGAGCAACGATAAACGATTGTTAACGAAAAAACGAGCGAAGTTCAGTTGATAATGACGCTTTGTCAATAATATATAATATGTTATAATACGGTAAAATAATTAAATAGACATTATATATATTTTCTTTAATAATATTCGTTTAATGTTGTACCGATTTTCCCGTTTTTCCCATGTTTTTCCTGGTTTTCACATTTGCTGGGAAAACTCTTGGGAAAATCGAAAAATGACCTGTTTCTCCCAGTCAGTGAATATCCCCAGTCAGATTTCCTTACAGAAAAAGTGCTATCATAGTAAATCGTTGAAAAATTGCTGGTAAGAAAGTTATCCACAGAAAACAAAAAATCGTAATTATTACTAATGTATTTCATACATTTTCCCTTTTTCCTAGGTTTTACTTCGTTTTTAACATTTGATAAAGGAATTCATAAGAAAATCAAAAAATGATCTCCCTAAAGTACCACCCCGAGAAAATTTCTTTTCAGAAAAGGGTATGCATCGTATAGGTACATCGGAGCAAGATTTCTGGTAGAAAAGAAGAAAAATCAAAAAATAAACAACTTTGTAAAACCATAGGTTTCTCTGTTCTACTTAGAATCTAAAACAACTATTTATATAAATAGCTTACGTTATTCGTATTATCGGTGGTCGGCCAAAAGTCTCTCGATAATGAAAAGCGGATCCACACTAAACACGCAAAACGCTTTGCAACATTACCAGTAATTTTGCGCGCAGGCGAGGACCCACCAATAATCGTAACCATAAGCGTGCGCACGGGGGAGACAGGAGAGGCGGCGAAATTTTCCGCTAAATATAAAAAAAAAAAAACATACTTTATAGAATATAGATATACATTTTTTTTTTTTTTAATACTAAACCCTAACGTAGTACCTTAACTTCGTAAATTGGTACAAACAGGGGAGGAGATTTTGGAGGATTGCAACTACCCCTTTCCCACCGAAAACTCAACAAAGCCTCCGAAAATAAAGTGCTTATCAAGTAAAATACTAAGTATTCAAAATCAGTATTGTATTGGCGGGGATTTAAGCTCCCTTCCTAAAATATTTGGACTATTCGTACGTATGACTTTAATGTAGGGTTTGATTTTAATGATCGTTTCTTCCCCTACTAAACGGACCTGTGTACGCTTATGATCGTAACTTGACGTTCAACGAATATTAAAAAATTGTAAAAAAAAATGCTCTACAAACTAAGCAAATTCTGTAAAACCATAAAAAAAAGTCTTAAAAATACATTTTAAATTAAATGCGTAAAAAAATTCACAAATATACATTAAAAAATAATCAGTATCATTTAAAACACATTTTGTACTTATGAACATACGTTTTGGAACTCAAGAATAAAAAATGCATTTGCTTCAAAATTCCAGCCCTAATTATTGTATTTCTTTTCCTACGTCAACTGTGTTTAGTACCTAGGTAGGTACCTAGGTACCTACATTGGTTTTTAGAAAATATATTATAATATATGTGTATACGTTTATTATCATAACGCATTATAATGCGTGCTGCATAAGTGTCTATACATCGGTCGTATAATTGAATTAAGGTACGTGCATACTTCTGTGGAAAACAGTTTGGTAGACTATTTTTTATTTTAGCAGTCTATTCCGCCTTAGCCCTCACACTTTTCTTGTTTAGGATATTGGGTATCGGCAGGTAAAATATCGTCTCAGAATGGGTTTTAGTATAAGTAACAAACATTGTTATTTTTTGTGGTACAATTCGTACATGAAGTGTAATTAAAAAGTTCCGCAACTGTTTGAATTGAGCGTCGAAAAGCAGTAGGGTTTATATCACTGGCTACTGTGACTTTTCTTGAGCGAATTTGTCTGTGTAGATTCTCTATAGCATTCTTCGGTGTGATCCGATCGAAGTTTTTGTAAAATATGTTTTGTCCATGCGTTGGCAGTTTTGTAATGAATTCAAAAGAAGAGCTCTTTAGGTGGTTGGAGAGTTGTGTAAAAGAATCTTGGTTAGGTTGACAGAGAAATACTATGAGAATATAAATAAAATAAATATTTTTCTGACTAAAATTTTTTATATAGTTTATACAAAAAAGTTTTAACTAAAAAACTACAGAGCGCTAAATGTCAGCAAATTTTTTTCCGTAATTGCTAAGAAAATGCCTAAGATCAAAAACAAATCCAACTTCAGGTTTGTCAGGAACTTTTTGATTTGGTAAATACCAATAAAAACTTTTTGAAGTGATAACACTCAATAATTATTATTACTCGTATATTTATGTAGTCACCATAATGAAGAAAAATCCGTTCCAACTGCCCCAAAAAGTTCGTCAAGTCGTTCTTCTTTTGGATTCTTACAAAATAGCCAAACACGAAAAAACCATAAAACATCGGTTACATTTACATCAAAATAAAGAAGATTATATAGAATTTAAAAAAAAAATCGGATCCGATTAGGAAAAATCACAAAGGCCAACGATATCAGTCCTACAGTTCTTTGACGCTCAAATCATATATTCCCGATTTTTGAGGGCACGCGACAATTAAAATATTTGTTTTTTTAATAATAAATAACATCAAAATTTCTGACATTTTTTTATCATAATTTATATAATATGTATAACATATTTTTATAATTTAATGGCACGTTCAAAAAAAAATAAGTCTATTTTGGCATGTAGAGTCGAAACAATTTGCCACACCCGGCATGATACATTCGCGTTTTCCAGTTTTTGATAAAGATGGACGATATCGAGGGGGGGAGGGGAAGGGGCCCGGGAATTGGGCCGCTAAAATTTTACATTTACTTCAGGTAGACCGGGCGTTTGGATCACTATTTTTTTTTTTTTTTTTATTAATGTATCTGGTAATCAGGCCACTATAAAACTGTTGTTGTTTGATTAATTATGTACTAGGTATTTAGTTTTTTTATCTGTAAGCGACGATAAGCCATTGCTGTCTAAGTACGGTTTTAAACGAAGTTATTAGTTGTATACTTATACATGTTTTGAAATGCTATAATATTTACGATTTTCGTCAAAATTCGATCTGAAAACGATTATGGAAAAAACTACTACATTACGATTAATTTTTTTTTTTTTTTTTACCGCTATGGACAACTTATAATCGTGCCTCATGTTAAATTTTCAAGCATTTCTGTTTGGTCCAACAATTATTTTAGTCACATAGTACCTACCTAAGAAAAACTCGCAAACATAAAATGCCTATAAATAGCTCGACCCACCCCGAAATATTTTAAAAATATTCCCGCGTATAGAAAATTGTTTGCATTTTTTGATTGAAACAAGATTCTGAGTAAAAAAACTGTTCACAGACACAACATGTATAACATTTATACATAATATACTTGAATAGCCCAATACCCGGGTGATGAAATATAAACAAAATATTCTGTAACGAAGCAGGTAGATAAAATTTAGCCCAATTACCAATCACCCGTACCGATAACGGCTACCGCATCAGTCTGTGCGTACCTTAAGAGATTATCGCAATAGAATACGGTATCTTTTATTTAATAATTTTATTTTTATTTTTTTTTTTTTTTAAATAAATTACACTACAATGAGATACTATATTTGTAACGAACAAGTGTGCCAAGCGTGCGTTAAATTTTCTCACCGGTGATTTTTCGTTACGTCCACGCTGTTTACACTACTAGCTGTGGTGGCACTGGCTGTTTAGCTTTCGGCGATATTAACATTTCCGGTTTCGTATTCCAAACTGTTTCCATCGGCAAACGTGTTGTCCACTTGCTTGGGCACCTGTTTTGGACGTCTCAGAGTTTTGGGGGACGATGGCTTTGGCTTGTTGTCTAAGGGCGAACTGTCTCCGCCGGTGTTAAATAAGTCGTTCGATAGACGCATGACATCCGGGGTTTCCGCAAGGTCCGGTGTATCCGTAATAGGTGATGACTGTGGCTTGTTTTTATTTTCTACGACCACGCTGGCGCTGGCGGTTTTGCTTGTGGTCTCAGCGATTTTTGCGTTTCCAGACCGGGTTTCCTTGTTGATACTTATTTCACTGTTATAAGATTCGTCCGATCGTTTCGAGAGTTTCGGTTTTACTGATGAAGGTTTTGTTTTTTTTGAAAGCGATTGATTTGGCTGCACATCGTTGTCTAACGATACATTGTCGCCAAACAAATTATCGTCTTGCCTTGGAACCGGATTTGCTTTAGGTTTTGATGTTTTTGCAACCGATGACCGTGACTTGTTTTTCTTTTCTACTACCCCACTGTTGTCACTATTGGTGACAATGGTGGCTTTGCTTTTGGTATCGTCGATATTTACATTTTCTGATTGCGTTTTCTTGTTGAAACTAATTTCACTGGCATCGAATTTGTCCATTTGCTGCGAGGGTTTTATCGGAAGTGACTTCGATGTGGTCCCCTTATAATCATTATTATTGAACCAATCATCGTCCTCTTGTGATATTGGAGTTTGTTGTATTATGTTAGGTTTATTTCGTACTACGGTTTCTTCAGAACCTCTGTGTTTTTTGATTATCTTCTTCGTCTCTTCGTGGTCGTCTTCCACTTCACCGTCCCCGGTAAAGAAACCGCTCAATGAGTTTACCAATGAGGTCGGCTTTTCTGGTTTGGCGCCCGGTTTTGCTGGAGTATCACTAGAACAGAAAAAAAAATGTCATTATTATTATTTTGAATTCCGTAAAAGAATAAAACGCGGTCGCGCGGTACGAATCGTCCCACAATAATTAACAGAGCTATACTTACGGGCAAACCCCTATAGTCCTTCTCTCCCTAAAACCACTATTGAAAGATTAGGAAATATAAGGAGTCGGTAAGGGAGACTGATGTAAGGACCAAAATAGGAAGTTCTCGGAAAGGTCAAAATTCTACCCAAGTAACGGGTAACTTCAGGCAAACATCAATTAGGACCTAACGCTCGATACCCGCGACCGTCTGAGATGTTAGGGCAGTTGGTAGTGCTAATTAAACACGTCCAGCACGATATTATATTAACCATAAACCAACAATATATTATATAAAACCATAATCGATATTATTGGACAACTGTTAGAGTTTGATTAAAAAAGGTTTCTGAATTATTCAACTTAAGTCGCAATTTGATAAAGAATACGTATTCGAATAAATACGTAAGTAATACTTGTTCAATATTCTAATATGTAAAGGCATTTCTAAGTATATATCTTTTCTAAAATATTCAAACATGTACCATTTCGAATAAAAGTTATTGGGTAGGTAATGTTGAAGTCGAGTTTCGAATAGGCGTTTTTAAATTTTATATTATATTACCCATGTGGTAATTATAATTTTTATAATGCAACTAGTTGACGTAATTTTAAAACAATGCCGCAATGGCTTATATGGTTACCTTCTGAACATAGACATCATGCTCAAGAGCGATTGTAAAAATGCCTTGGTGTCCGGTCCGGTTGTTATGTCCTTCAACAGCCCCGCCACGGTCTTCATCATCTGCTGTCCATTGCTGCCGACGAAGACGTCAAACAGCATACGCAAATCGGCAGCCGCCAGTGGCATTTGATCCAACAAACAGGACGTGGACGGGCTGGACTCCAGTACGGTGAGCGTCATACGTATCATGGCGACGCTTACCTTTGGGTTTTCCATTAGCTTTTCCATTATTGTCGATATCGATCTGGTCACGTCGTCGTCTTCGGCCATAAATGTCGATATTGTACCGATGTCGTCGACGAACTGAACGGCACTGCCCCTGGTACTCATACCGATCCTAGATGCTTGTAAACGACAAATAACACATTTTATTATGCACATTATTTTTTTTCCGGTATCACAAAGTTAAAGTCGGTCATTTTTTTTTTTTTCTGTTGATTTCCGATGAAACCATTATAATTACTCGTCGAAAAACTATATATACGTACCGACATATTTTACCAATATTTTGAGGACCTCCTTGTTGCCGTCAGTGCCGTCGAGTTCGGATCGGATCTTGCTCGTGCCTATGTTAGCCATCACCAGACCCAGATCGGTGGCCTGTTCCATGCCCGCCACCCCGGTGTCAATGAAGTTGGCCACGGACCCGACAATGCCTGTCCGTTTTCTACGGCCGGAAGCGCCCCCGCTCCTCTTTTCCACCGACTCCCTGGAACTGCGAATGGTTTCCCGAGCTTTCTGGAACACCGTCGTCGACACGTCCTGGAACGTGTCCACACTCCGCTGCATGACGTCCACGGAGGACCGCATCAAGTTCTGGAAAATGTTTGGTACCGGTTTCTGGAACAAGTATAATCATATGGAACACCGTACTACTGCCATCCATTCGGCTGTTACCACTAACGGTATTCATGACGGTATTACTGCTCGCGTTGTCCACAACAAACTTTGCACCGCTATAGTTGGCCTCTTTGAATCCGGCGGATGACGATTGATTATTGGCGACGGCCGTAGTGGTCACCGCCATTTTCTTGTTTCTCTGATTGCGCATCGAGTTGTGCATTGCTGAGCCGCTGCCCGATGACCTGTTCTTCGATTGGTACCGGGACGACTGTTATCAAAAAACCATCCGATTTTAAGAAGACGTGGCACACTCGTTATTTAAGAAATTTCGTATGTGCAATTTTAACGAATCGTTTGAAAAAATTCATCACCTCAGCATATTATTCGAGTTCACTTTTGAACGAATACCTTTACAATAACAATAATATAGCCCTATGGCAAGTGGTCACAACAGTATTTTAATGTGTAATCACGAAATAAACTGAAAATGCGTCATGTAGTCGTCATCCCATGTCGCAATCTTACTACACGGGGAATAACCGAGAAAACTACAATCAATATCTATATTGTAGTATATAAAAACTAAATTTTCACCAGAAAAATAACAGAAAACTGTTTTTCAACGTGGGGTTTCTAATTTTTTCAATAGGACAAAAATTAATTTTTTTATTTTAAAAGCTTAAAAACTACACATTTTAAACGACATTATAATAACTTTTTGTTTTTATCAGTGGCTATTGCTTTCCTGTACGACTTTGCCCGTGCGCAGTATTAAAAAAAAAAAAAATTAAATAAGTATCCTCCTGCATTTCCCCGGTTCCACTCTTGTCCCTATCAAAATTAACCATTGTTGTCCGGTTGTTTATATTTTAAACAGAGTGCTTCGCCTTACGAAAGACAACCAAATATAATACCTAATAACCAGGGTTCGGATTTTATAGCACTGAAAATCACTGAAATATGCGCTATAATGTGCTCTAAAAACATGAAAAATACCAATGTAAAAATGTATTCTGTTCACAATTTAAAAATATTGTATTTATTGAATAATTATTAAGAAAAGATTATTTTATGAATTAATAGATAAATTTACAATATATGAAAACACTAGAAACAGTTTATTATTATTTTTTTTAATGACTTGAAACACTAGAATGAAGACATGATTACCAAAACTATTCAAAATTATCTGGAAATAAGAATAAAAATTAAGTAATTATTATTTATAATTAAATAATACTCTTAATTATTTTACCTGAGTTACACTGCATGACTAAATGTTTTGCCAAATTTTCAAATTTAAAGCTTCGAAGGTTATCAGTCAAAAATGTCTTGTACGTCGAGAAGGAACGCTCTACATCTACCGATGTAAAAGGGGAATACTTAAAATACACTATATCGCCACTAGCCAATTCTTCAAGATCTCCATCTAATTCATTATTTTATTTTTCACCACACTATATTTTGGAGATGCGTTTTAATTTCGACAAGCCGTTGCTATTTTCAAATATAGTTTTAAATTTTTTTTTTACAATTGTACCTGCTTCACACATTAATGATTTGAACGAATCTTCGATATCCTCAATTATTTTTAAAACAGCTGTTAAAGAAAGGTCTTTTGTTTGTAGTTTATTTATTCTTAAAACGAAAATTGTAAAGTTTGATTTTATATATGCTAAATTGCTCTCAAGACCGGGTTTAACGATGTATTTTTTTGTACTCACAGCATCATCGTCATCGAGCTCGGTCATAATACGACAAACAGTGTTTAAATTTTCGCAATAATAAATGGCCGCGTTAATCCACGACCCCCACCTTGTAATTACGGGATCTGGTGGTAAACATACACCTGGAGCCTCTTTTTCAAACATTTCGTCTCTAGTTGGTGCTTTTTTGAATACTTTTTTACAATTTTCGATTAATTTCTCAACAGCGCTAAAGTGGTCACGAACCTGTTCCGCAGTTCTATATAAGCAATATGCTGCGCATGTCACATGTACCATTTTTGAATAAAACATTTTTAATAATTGACCAGCTTTTATCAGCTGCATCTGATAAAATTAACAGTACATGCTCGTGCCGTATTCCGCCAGTCAATAATTTTGTCATAGATTTGTTAATAACTTTACTGACCGTAGAAAAGTTGGTTTTTCTAATTGTTCCTGAGTGGAGTACAAATTTGGATCCAGAACGTTGAATCCCCAGAGTACCGATAGTAACATTGATAATAAAACGACCTATGATGTTCGTTGTTTCATCGACACTCACCCAACGGCGATTATTGAAAACTTGAGTTCTAATTTTTTCGATATTTTCATTATAGGTATCATCAACGTAGAGTTTTCTCAGTGGTGATTCGTCTGGAATTGAATTTTTAGTATACCTTTCTAAAAATTGTCGAACCTTTTATTAGATAACTTGTTTAATGGTATAATTGCAGAAACAAAAATCTTGCAAAGATCGATATTAAAAGTTGATTTTTGTTGAACATTTGTAAGTAGCTGCTGTTTTTGTTCAATTTTATTTTGCTCATGTTTAATGGCTTTGATATGTTTATCCGATTTTATGTGTTGTGAAATGTTAAATTTTTTGTCACTATTCACTTTACATTCGCACAATTCACAAAGGAGAATACTCAAGTCAATCGAAAAAACGTCACCATAAAACATAAAACAAAGCGAAGTTATGGTTTAACAAAGATAACAAAGATTTTTGTTTTTTTTTTATTTATATATGTACGCAACGTTTCTACCAGAAGACTTGTTCGGATTTCTAGGTGTAACACCTTTTTTGAAAGGAAATCGGCACGCGGAGGTACTATAGGGAGGTTTTTTCGATTTTCTCAAGAATTTTCCCACCAAATGTGAAAAACCGGGATAAAACGTAAGAAAATCGGTGGCTGCACCCGTCCCCATTATCTTACCTTTTTTTTATTTTTCTATAATATTAATTTTTAATTTTCATATTATCCAGAAAATATTTTATTTATTACCGTTTTTCATTAAAAATATTATAAGTTCGTATACTTAAGAGTAACTAGAATATGGTTAATTAAATATTAATTTAATATTAATTTAATATTAATTAATTAAATATTGTTAAGAAAAAAAATATAATAATAATAAGATAATATATTTCCAAAAAATTGCATTTTTATATTTACAGATAAAAACTAATTTATCATTATAATGAAGACATATGACATACCAATTTAGGTATTACTTGGGTACTTGGGTACTATCTTTCAGTTGTTAAAATTGAATAGATATTTTGAATACAATTTTATAACTAATCGGCAGTTTTTATACTACTTTGTGTTATTTATTTTGTAAATTAATAAATTAATAATGTTAAATAATACTGGAACCGCCACTTCTCATAAATTTAAATTAAAATGATCCTCAAGCTGCGTTATGATTGGTGTCCTATAAATTCTACAACTCCACACTCTACAGGTTTAAAAATACATATATAGATAATATTTCATATTTGCATTCACTTCATTAGAAATTTTAACTTTGAATACCTAATCAATAATTTTTTTTTTTTTAAATTAACTAAACTTATTTGTTGAAGTAAAGTCAAGTTAATGATATATTTAACAGCTCAACTGAGTTAAAAATATGATTAACTTACCCAGCCTTCCAAATTGTTATAATTAAGTATATATTTTACGTTTATTAAACAAATCATTATCATAAACATTACAATATTCAAGTGCGTTTACAAAAAAATATTTCGGAGAGAGGGGGTTTAAGGTTGTAAACTTGCATACTCTTATAACAAAAAAGTTTACATACTTTCAATTGTAGGATTATTCATTTTTTATAAAAAATGTTAAGATTTTATAACATTCATTTTTAGCTTTTTAGGTACCTATTACTAAATTTCACATTTAATATTTTTCTAATGAATACAGCCTAAATGATAATGTAATTCATATTACTGTAATGAGGACTTTGTAATGTCGCCGTATTAGTTATAATTTTCTAAAAACAGAAAAACCACAACAAATTAGAAATGACAATAATAACAATATATACTTACTATTTATAGTGTCTTATAATAAAATACAAATAAAACTAAAATTGTATTTATCTCCACAGAAGATCTCAGAATATCTTGACAAAAATCACTTTTGAGACTATTAAAAATCTACTTTCATCATAATTTTCATGACATTTCGGGGTAGGGATTTAATCTCCCCCTCCCCTTGTACACGCACCTGACAATATTATCATAGTAAAATGATAGGAATCACTTAACAGTTTACGCATTATAATTAATTATGAAACAAAATACCATAATGCTACTAAAAAACGAATGTACGTTTATATAAAAATATATAGACTACAGACGAATCTGGAAGCGTGACTTAATTTACCCTGCCTATCCTATAGTCGTCCCTATGCTTAAGTTTTAAATAGGGTAGATATTATATTTTGCTTGTGATATTTACGGGTGAGTAGATGTTAACCATCCCAAAATTAAATGAAAACTATCAAAATACAACACTCAAAATTTGTTTGAACAAATATTATATTTGTATTGTAAATCGTAAGAAATATTTTAGTTGCAATTATCGAAAAAGAAAATGTTTTAACACTATTAATGAGCAATGATAATAATATCTCAGGTGGAATATTTTTAAAACTAAAAAAAATGAATCGTAATATTTTTTTGAAAACTATTTGAGAATATACGGTGTATGTATAATTAAACATCCTATTGAAGTATGACGGCACGATAAAATTAAATTTAACATATGATTGTCAATAGATCCCTTTATTATCAATGTGTGTACTTTTTTACAGTCGTTCATACCACATTGTAATAATGAATGTAATCGTAATTTCGAAATTAAAAATAATGATATTGTTGTTTATTGTCACGTCAGTCACATTAGAATTGTCACACACTGCAATAAGTGCCAATTTATGTTTTTTCTGAAAACAGCCCCGGAAAAAAAGCCCCTTCAATGCAAATAAAGTGTCTACTTTTTGCGATTTTATTTTTAGATTCTGAGCGTAACCGGGAATGTACCTAATATTTTCACCTAATTGTGTGTTTTTTAGATTGCCATAACACAGTTTTAGGTTTCTAAACATAAGTTTAAACGCATTTTATTTTGTCTGTCTGTCTGTAATTACCAGTTTATTGTTACGGTTGTTGATTTGGCTGACAATGACATGTATATTATTCGTAACATTATAATTATTACTATTCATAATTAAAGTATAACTTCGTCATACTATTATGATCACTATTTACTTAAATATGAATATTAAGTACACATGCGTACTAAGTAAGTATTTAAATTTTTTTTTACAGAGGTGGACATTAACTATAGTTAGAAGGTTAATTTTGTTTAAAACTTTTTAATTTCACTGGTTAATTGTTTTGATCGTTCACTTTTAACTTAACTAGGTCAAGTTTTCATTGGATAAACTTAGCTTTTTACAGTTATATTTTTATACACATCCAGTTAAGACAGTTAAGTTAACGAGTTAAAGTCAAATGATTTTTTTGTTGAAAATTTGATACCTATTTAATTTTAATTGCCTATTCTCAGTGCTACGATTCAGACCAAGAGTACACATAAAATCAGTGCAAAATGGGTGCCCAAGTTATTGCAGTGGACATGCAGTGAAACATGGCAGTTTTTTTTCCACTGCATTGATGTGCACTCAGTCTTATGTGTTCTATATCGTATACATAATACAAAAAAAAAGGGGGTGATACAAATTTTGGAATAACATTATAATTTAAAATATAATAAATATTTCAATTTTATTCAGCATATTACATTAAACAAAATCGTCAACAAATTTATATTTTATGGTTAATAATCAAGCCAGAAACCGTAATCATTGTATTATTAATTGTTAATAACAATATAATATTGATGTTAATAATATGTTGTTTGTTGCATTCTGCTTACATAATTATTATAAATAATATAATTTATTATGAAGTACCTACTTATATAATTATAATTGTATAACAATATGTAAAAGGTTAATAGTAAAACTATAAGGGCTTAATACTGAATACTTCCAATATTGATTTCGAATAGCAAAAATAATAACGAACGGACATGCTTCGCACGATGGGCGGGCCACTGTTGTAGATGGAAATTCGGGAAAGTATAGAGGAAATTTAATGTATATCCGTACTCAATTATTAATCATTGTTAACGAAAAACGATTCTGAGCGTAGTTCAGTTATACATGTTTTGTAATGCCGTAAAATGTACAATTTGAAAATAATACATTTCCGTATGATCTCATACGGAAATTCATTACATATGATTTCCGTCGATCCGTTGACGTGATATTCCACTTTTAAGTATAGGGTAGAGGACAGTAGTGGAGTATCATAAGTGTGGCAGTACGGCGCGCAGCATGTTATAATGCACCACTACTTTCCTCAAACCTAAAATTAAAAGTGGTATATCTCATCAACGGCTTGACAGAAATCAAAAATTTAAACACTCAAATTTATTTTAACTAATACTCAATCTATTTACGGACTTTTAAAAATAGGTTGCTATTTGAAAATCAAAAATAAGTTGTGGTTTTACTCCCAAAAATAAGGGTGGCAAAAATAAAATAAAATTGTGGCGTAGCTTGTTTTTTAAATGTTCTAGAAAATAAATTCCGGAGAAATTTAACACTTTCCGAGATAATTAGTGTGCCTACTTAAATGAATCACCTGTTATAGGTTGTAACACTCGTCTTTTCCGTCAAATCACTACACGACCTAGTGAAATCACGTTACTTAGAACCTATAATTTGTGGCGTGTAGATTGAATTGGAGTTTAATCACAAATTAAAAAATAAGACGGGCATACTTTTTACGATGGGTGGACCTGTTGTAGGTGAGGAGTTGGGAAGGTAGTATATGGAGGGGAATTCAAGTTATATCTGACATCTGTACGCAATGATAAGCCATCGATATTCTGGTAGAAAATTAATTCATAGAAAAAGATAACAATAAAAAATAAACATCATTGTAAAATCAATACATTCCTCGCTCCTCTCAAAATCTAAAAAAATTAATTTACTTATTTTTAACTGAGTTAAATTATTATTTGTTTGCATTTTTAACTCAACTAGTAAAATTTATCTTTTGTTTTATAACAACTTTCAACTGAAGGAATTTTCGTATATTTAATTTTACTCAAACAAATTATTTTAGTTAACATGACCATCAATGAATCTTAAAAAAAATTTCCTATCAACTGTTAACAATTCATGATTTTTAATTTATTTGAGCTTTTTTTACATAATATAAGTTTAATACACTAGGTACCTAACCGGATTTGTTAGAAATTATACATGGAATTATACTATTATAATTTATTGTTTAAAATACGTTTAGAAATTAGAAACTATGATCATTTCACTCTCGCAATGATGATTTATTTTGTCAATGAATAACTTCTCTGACAACGAATCTTGCTCCATTCATCAACACTAAGGTGGTTTCTTGTATAGAAATTTTTTGTCCAATTGGTTCTTTAGGGAGGTCATTATTAAATTGTCTGCGAAATTATAGAGAATTTAAAACGAAAACGATTCCGCGATAAACTCGTAGGTTTATCATTTGTTAAAATAGATCTAAAACTTATGTTTTAGTAGGTACATATTTGGGAAATTAGAATACACAAGATAATTTAGTTTATATACTGCTTGCGGCGATTAATCGTTGTACATGAAAAAATTATTCTATGCGGAGTAGTATCAATAGTATTTTCCCCCGTGCTACCGACTCATCGTAGATATCAACAAAAATCAAACCCCCAAAAAAGGACTCGGTGTTGAACAGATGAACACTTCGATACATTTTTCTAATAAAATATTATAGGATAAAATTCAGCATCTTTTTAGGTAATTGCAGTTTGTGATTAAAGAGAAAACCGGGTCTACCTAAAGTACGCACACTCGACGTTTATTTTTATTGATATATGTATATTGAGAAACCTGGTTACTAGTTTAGCGGAAAAACTGTTTTGGCGATATTTTTTTGCTGTAACTATTTAATAACCAAGTTTACTTTTCGACAACCAGCAGGTTACCGGCATCAGTGAACGATTAAAAACTATGCGTTTATTGTTTTCGGTTACTGATTATTCATTGGCAAAACACGGTACAGTGTATAACAGTAAACAAAACGTTTTCGCGATATTGCAATCAAGTAGTAAACCACAGCAAACAGTTTACCGAAAACAAGCCTACGGATATCGATTGCTCGTTATCGATACTCGATACTATATAGTAGGTACCTATTTATAGGTATATTATAGTATATACTTACTTCTTGGACCGTAAAATGGATACAACCAAACAACCATACCAGAACCGCGATCTTAGTTCTGTCGAATAACATCGTGCAGTCTGCGGGTTGTATAGTATAGGTAGGTTAGGTATGTTAGATATGTTAGGTTAGGTATTAATTTTCGTCACGTCCCTTGCGGCGAGCAGTAACAGACAAACGCGCATAGAGGAAAGTAAACACGCACGCTCTAGCAAAGTTCCAGTTTTGTCGGTATACTGTTATAAGAAAAAAAAAAGACAAAAATAAATTTTCTTATCAACCGACGATTTAGTGGCTTTTCGACTGCTACAGCCGCTAAAAATGATCGTAAATGATAATTGTTATTACGGTGACGTCCGACGTTCGAGACGCGTGTCAATAATTTATTGGAATGTATACGCAAGTGTTCGTCCCCGTATACTATACTCGGTCGACAAACATCATCGTAATACGATCGTATTTATTTTCTCGTTAATTGGACTTTTTATTATTATTAATTTTTTTTTTTTTTTTTTTTTTTGTTTTGCACCGTCGTTATACCTATAATATAGTACGATGTATTTGAGAGACGATATTGTTATAATAACTGTGTCATCAGTCACATCTCGCATCATAATATAATATTATGGCGGTTAGGTTATGGTGGATGGCTGTGTAATAGCAGCAGCAGCAGTCGACCGTCACGTCAACATTAATGGCGGTATTTAGGATTTTGCAAAGCGGGGAGATAATGCGTTTGGAAATTGTGTCATATTATATGTGTGCGCGGTGTACCCATATTAAGCTCAAATAATCGAATTTCCCCCCTACTTATTTTGTATAGGTAATAGAAGAAATATCCTTTGCAAAATAATGAATAACCGAATAGTATAATACTGATGATCTGTAGATTACTACACCTTTGTGTAGCGTTGAAAGTCGAAACTCTGAAAGGTACATTCTTGATACTAACGGCATGCGTAGGTGTACAATATTGTTTCCTCGTGGCTATTTAATTTGGAAGACTGTAGGGTCGTACGATGATAAAAAAAAAAAAAATAAAAAAAACTTTCCACAATGCACAACCGACGCGAAGAGTCCTCATACATTATAATAAAGCGTTTTGTAATGAAACAAAAATATCCATTTACCATACCTTATTAGTTTCCGTTATCATGTATCTATATATTAACTGCGTGAGGGGCTAATCAAAAAGTATCGTGACTGATAGTATTACTCGTAAACCGAACATTGAAGGGCAGTAGGTTTGGTATCAATGCTGGATTCTATGTTTTCTTCTGAGCACGTCTGTTTTTGTAGACTCTCTATAAACTTCTTAGTTTTGATTTCATCGCGATATTTTAGTAAAATACGTTTTTAGTATTTAACGATTTTGCAATGACCTCAAACGAAGAGCAACTTGACGAGTATTTTATGGGTTTGAAAGGATTTTACTGCATTTGCGGAAAATATTTTTCGACATTTCACATGGCTTTTACCAAAAAAACGTAACTGAAAAAGTACACATATACCAAATGGCAGCAAAGTTTATCCCGAGAATTTTGAAGAAATTTAAAGTATCAAAATAAATCTAAGTTCAGGTTTGACGTCACACGACGCATCTGCAGTTTTCAGTTACAATTTGATGACATAAGTAATTATGTCTTAATTATAAGTAATTATAAGTGTAAAATATTGCATTTTACTGAAAAAATAAGAATAAATCATCTCGAACCCCCCAAAAGCTCGTCAAGTTGATCTTTTTTTGGATTCATCATAAAATTGCCCAACAAAAAAAACATATTTCACAAAAATATTGGTGAAATCAAAATTAAAAAGTTAGAAGTAGAAAACATGTGCTCAGAAAAATTACTTCTTGATTAGCCCTCGTACATACTTATATGCCTGCAATACAATCGTGGTTGTCAATGACAGGTATTGGAGTTTGATAGGTTAGGCGTTCGGATAGGAAGAAATAGGGATCGAGATACGTTGATACCTAAATGTAGTGCGTTTTTTTTTTCGTTCGTTTTTAAGGATTAAATATATCGGTTTGACAATTTACCTTATTATTTATATAATCACGGTAATCATCTCTATTAGTACTACATAATAATGAACAAAACTCTTAACGGCTGAAATACAGTAAGATAGTTGTCAATTTAACATAAAAAAAGTTACTGACATAACTCGAAAAATACGATTTTCGAGTTATTACTATCAAAATATGCAGAATATCATTCTTTATAATTCACTATTTTTATTTTATTTCACTAAATTGCATTTTTCAGTTATTTAATTTTGAAGACAGTATGAATTCAAATGTCTCTATATCCGATTAAAATAAATTATGGTTACTAGCCTAAATATTGACACTTCTAAGATGTGACTTTATTCTGACCTGACTAATGTTGTTACACAATATTTTTCTAACCAAAATAAAGTCATATCTCATAAGTATTTAGTAACAGTTTCACGTGGGAAAAATTATAGTACATTATGAAAAGTTATGAAACGTTAAAAGTCGATTTCCCAACATTTTCATATTTTGATTTGCGTCACTATTCGTTCGGGGCTGCGATATTATTAATATTATGATATAACCATTATGATCGGGGTTATTTTTTTCGATGTAGCCCGAAATTTGGAAACCCTTGACCGGTCTGTGTGACCGACCCACTCCGATATTGTAACCGGATCGGAAACAAAAACTCACATATTTTAAGAACGCTAAAAAATAAAAAAATGAAAAAAAAAATGCACCACGGTGTATAGAGTGGATGATTTATTCGAATTATTATTGTATTATGTCATAGTAAAATTGTATTACATCTGCGCCCGTGTGAACAATGAAATCTGTTGAACATTGTATTATAATATTCGAGTGAAAAAGGCGATAAACAATTAACAAAAAAAAATAAAATAATAATAATAATAACGGATTTTAGCGACAACGATAATAAAATTATTATTGAGATCATATCTTGTTCTGGAAACAATCCAACAAAAATGAACTTATTGTTTTGTATACATGATTACGGACACTCGACAGACCGTGAGACTCGTCCGGATAACTCTGTAAAATAAAATGCATAATATATTATATTTTAGTGACGGTATATTACGTATAGATGCTATCTATGATGTAGAGCATATTTAAATAAAATTAATTAAATTTCAAAACATTTTTCCATTCGAATACTTTTGGTACCTGTTTTAAATACTTTTCGAATGAAATATTCACTTAACAAAATTCCAGTACAATGTGTAGGTACTGATTTTTTTTCTTTCGTATTTATATCAATTTTCCGAACATAACAATAAAGATAAAAATATTTTGAATCGGTGGTTGCTTAATTTCAAACTAATTATTTACGGCCAAATAATAAATTATGAACATGTTTTTTTAGGCATGACCTAGTATTTATTTATTATTGAACCATTTTTATATATGCAATATGATATTATTAAAAAAGTTATCATGTTTTTCATATTTATTTACAAACAAGTTCAGCTTGTTGATATTTATTAATTATTATGTTTGTTTATTAATGAACCCATAGAAATTGATTTTTTTTTTAATAAAAAACCTTATTTTTCAATTTTATTAAAGTATTATATCTCGTTGTTTTAAAATATTCTGAAAGATTTGTTGAACGTGCATTTATACTTGATTAAAGCTAAAAGTGACTTTTCTGATAGTTACATTAAATTTTATATTATTGTTGTGTTGAATGTGTCCCTGACATTATTAATGATGTGCCACTGGGAATATTTCCCCGAGAACGTTACAGGGAACAGGAAATATTCCCGGACCACTCGGGAACGTTCATTAAAAAAAAAAAAGTAAAAGGTAAACTTTATGCATACATAATATACAGTATATACAGATACTGTAGCCAGGGAAACTAGATTTAATTACACATAAATTGGTTACACTACTTTGTAACTCAATAGATACCACCGCAGACCTATTAAAAGGTTAATACCGCGGTTACCTGCCACATTAGATGCTATAATGAGTTGCACACAATCTAAGTGATTATCGCATAGGCTAATTATAATATTTATAATATTTATTTTAATAATTCCCGCCGTTGGGAATTTGCACATCTCTGGGCATTGCAAGGGAATTTTTTCAAACCCTCCTCCCATTGACAAATCCTGCAGACTACGCCACTGATACTATCTATACATTATTAGAACTCCTGCAGCACTTACTTGCTGTCTGAAAAGTATAACTCTTCGTTCGAGTTCCATGGATAACATCATGGACTGTTGGTAGTGCACATTGTCGTCGTACGTGCCATGTATCAACATGTATTTCTTGTTGCGAATTTTCTCGGCGTGAGTCAATAGACTGGCGTTTTTGTAATTCACCGCGTTATCAGGGAACAGACCCATGTAACGTTCGGTGTAAATCGTGTCTGGAAAATTTAATTATTTGAATTTTTACACCGCGCACAATAATACGTCAATACAAAGCTGCGCGAGTTTCGCTGTAACCGTCATTCGTTTTGTAACCGAATCGAATTATTAGTTACTCAAATTTCCAAAAAAAATAAACATAGGTACTATAACATACCTATAGTTTAGTCAGCGGGGGAATATAGACACGTTAGAATTCATTTTTTTTTTATTAATAACAGTCGTATCGTACCGACGGCGGGTCAAATATTTCGTAATTTATTTAAATAGATCGGCAACGAAAACATCCTCATCTCATTTGTTTTGTTTTAATTTAAATTTTGTTGGAAAATTTCGCGATTTTTTTTAACGGATAAATGTAGCCCAGCTTTGCATGTCGCGTTAATACATTACACACGGACGTGTACAAACCGTAGTATATCCAATCGGTAACGGGAGCAACAGACAGCCCGCATTTGAATACGTTTTTGTTGTCTTTGGCCAGTACCATGCCGCTTGTGTAGCCGCCGTAACTCCAGCCCCAAATAGCTGTTTTAGATTTGTCAATGAACGAAAACCGGTCCTGAAGATAACTGCACCAAGAAAACGATAAATTAATAGTATTATATTATTATACAGGGTCTTTCAAATTTCACGTAACAGTCGAATTTTTCACGAATTACTTATATTTTCAATAAATGACTTATTTACAACATTTTTTAATCATATATTCTATAATGTTACTATTTATCCTCATTTTTGGCGGTGAAACCGCCATCTACTTTTGATTTTCAAATAGCTACCTATACTAAAAATTCCATAAATAGACGGGGTAGTAGTTTAAATCCATTTTGGCGGTTGCTATTTGAAAATCATAAATCAGAAACCGTTTCAACCTCGAGAATAAGGGTGACGAAAATATGGAAAATGTAACATTT